TATTCATAAAGAGTTACACAAATTACAAACATCGCAGATGTACACACATGCACACACATGCACACATGCACACACACAACACGGAGACATTCCTCAGCAGTGTACCTGGTGAACGGCGTCGTCTGTCCGGCTGTTCATCTGTTTGTTCATCCCTCTGCCCATTTGTCTGTCTATATGTCTGTCTCTCTATTTGTCTTTCGTCGGCACATGCACACTTTATGCGTGAACGTGTACGTTGAGGCTGTGGTGAAGGTACGACATGGCACATTCCTGGCGCACTGATCCCCGGTGTGCCATGCATGTCGTGCGATACGCGACCACGCAATCCGTAAATCAAACTGGACACGGCGGCGGCGGGCACGCCGTGACATATCATATGCCGTACAGATGGTACGTGCGACCAGACTCATAGCTCCATACGCACATTGTTGTGTGTTGGGCTTACGTGCTGTGTCTCTGCATGCACGTCTTCGAGTGCACACACATATACATGTGTTATATGTCCAAATTCCTGTTTTACGTGCATCTGGGTCTGGTAATAGCTGAAGGGGCTCCCAAGCTAGGGAAAGGGAAAAGCCCTACGGATTACGGAGGACAGTATGGGATGGACGATTGCACAGCTCAGCACACGGCACGACTGGCCAGTTGAGGAGGGAGTGGGCCACAAGCAATTCCTGCTGCGGCCCTGCCCGATAGCAAGTCTACCGGCCTGCCTTGCCAAAACAGGTCGCCCGTGTTGGGCTCCCTAGCTACCTGTCGGTTTACCCGTGATATGAGAGGAACTGGAATTTCGACCCGAAAGATCGTTTGCAGATCTCTGCGGTGATCCTCAGGATGATGTAATGATTAAGCGAATATTTGCAGACGCGACATCTATCCGGAAATAGGCACTCTACCTGGCTCTGTTACGACTAGCGATGCAATGCGGATTATTTTGGACTGATTTCGACACACCCACACATGCTTATACCTTCCCAATGTGTGTTCGTGTGCGTGTGTGTGTGTGTGTGTGTTTCCTGGTTTGGTTGCGGTGCAGGTTCCCGTGTTGATGCCTGGCGTGCCTCACACACCTTCTGTGCGGCATGCCATCCACTATCCTGGGAAAAGGCATTACTTTTCATGTAACCTGGCAATGGCAATGTGATGGGAATGCTGTGATACAATGCATAATTTCCACAAAAATGTTTACAAGGCATTGATGCGGTGACTTCTTGTTGTGCTAATAAGAGCACCGCTGAGGGCTGCTGTGAAGAAACGGAACGCCGAAACGTTAAAATTAGGCGTGTGTGGTGGGTCGTACGAAAAGTCAGTTAACATGGCGTTGGTAATGAAGGCTGGGCTGTGAAATGCGAGGTGATGGGAAGCGCACTCTGCTTGCTTTGCTTTGCACGGAAAGTCGTTCCAGCTGTCGCCACAATTTTCTCAAGGGATACTCTCCTTGTACAGCACCCGCCTGTGCAACAGAAAGAGAGAGAGAGCACAACTCAAAACTTTGAGGAAGCGCATGTTGCACGACAAGTTGGGTGTCGGCTTCAAGGAAGCCGGAAAAAGGGCGGGGCCCCTCTGCATCCGTACAGGCCGGTAGCAAGGGTGGCAAGTGTGACAATTGATGGGTAGTGTCAACGCGGTGGGAGATGTGCTTTGTTGCAGCAGTGCTGATGGTGTGAGAGCTAAGCTTGCACCGGCGGAATCGTCAGCACCGCCTGAGGGCTCCACGCGAATCGCATCCATTCCGGGTGCATGCCGCATGGACAGTGCGGCAGACCGCAAGTCGGAATGCCCGTGCGGGCAAATGGTAACGAAATCTGGGTGAATTTCGGTGCTGTCTGTGATGTTTATCCCCGAAGCGCCAGCGGCCTCAGCAATCCGCCCCACAGCCGCGGGCTTCATCGGGGCACACCGCAAGTCTCAGGAGGCCCCGTGCATTGGCCAAAGTAAATGTACAAACAAGCAGCTTGTGTATTTCATAGAGAAATGAAAGCAAATTATGTTGGCCTGCTGATGGCAAGTCGGATTGCCCATGCCGGCAAATGGTAACAGAAGCTGGGTGTTCGAGTTATCATACGCTGTCATCTCGGAAATCAATTATGAGATACACGGCACCTTTTGAGATGAAATTTAGCCCGAGAGGTGTTGATGTGACTTTTGAGGTCGGTGAATGGAGGCAGCTAAACTTGTTTGTGCTCATACGGTCTTTGTTAGCTACATGCGAGATACCTTGCAATAGAGAATGCTGTATAGTACCGATAACGCGTTTCAGCCGGGTGAAATATTATGTTTGGTCCGTTACACACTCAAGGCCTGGGAGTTCGAGGTATCATACGCCGTCATCTAAGAATTCAAATATGAGATACGCGGTACCTTTCGGGATGAAATTTAGCGCGAGAGGCGTTGATGTGACTTTGGCCTCGGTCAATTGAGGCAGCCAAACTTGTTTGTGCTCATACGATTTTTGTTGGCTACATGCGAGATACCTTGCAATAGAGAATGCTGTATAGTACCTATAACGCGTTTCAGCCGGGCGAGATGTTATGTTTGGTCCGTTACAGACACACACACACACACACACACACACACACACACACACACACACACACACACACACACACACACGGACATGGGCAATCCTACAGGTCGGGGCCCCCCTGGGCGCTTCGCGCTGGGGCCCCGCCCAAAAATTTGACGGTTTTCTGTTGTACCAGCGTGTGTTGCTGCTGGCGTTGTCGCCGCTGGCGCTGCTTCTGCTACTGCCAAATTCACACTTCGGCAACAATGAACGTGTTTGTTGGTTCTTTTGTCGGTTCTTTCGTTGCTTGCGGCGGTATCGATCAAACCCTAAGGACAGTAGGCGGAGGCAATCATGGCACACCCGGGTGTACATGGGCGTGTGTGTGTATGTATGTATGTGATTTCCTACTGTCGTATGTACAACAGATACACGATATTGTTGCGTCCGTGCTGTGAAAGAATAAGGAATCGCCGGGGCGGGAGGATGAAGAGTGGACTGTTGTTTTGTCAAGCTTTAATTAAGCTCACGTCTCCTCTCCATGCTGTGAATGTAAATCTTGTTTTGTCTTTTCCTCATCCAGCGCCACGACAGCTGTGTTGTATCCGGCTGGCTGCCGCACTACTATATTCCTTGCTGCTCATCAATACAGAGCCTGCTGCTCTGTCATCATGCACTGCAATGCCATGTTTGGGAATGGGAAGTGTCCCCATTATTTGGAACTGTGGTTACAGTTACTCAACGTGGCCAACATGCAAACAATGGCTTGACTACTTGGCGCTTCTTTTACCCCAATGGCATTGAGCTGCATCAACACACACTACTCATAAGTGAGGTGGGGGTGCCCCGAAATATCGTGGATGGAAGGAACTGCCAGCAAGCTAGTGGCTACGGATGAAGCTATGTACCCCCTTCTGCTTCACACAATGATATACAAATACAAAGATGGAATATCGGCTTACAATCCGACGACAATTATCGTCGGCATCACATGGGCGGTGGAAGCATATCACCCTTTGCCTTGTCCGTTATTAGTTACCATAACGGCCGGACAATAGAGCTTTTCAGTTGGGACGCGAAGTAGTCCTCGTGTTCCCTGTCGCAAGGATTCGCCAAATCTAGCCGCCCACCCTATCACAGAACACCCCACCATACAACACCCCACCCCACCCACCCCATCATGCAAAGTCCCGAGGGTCCCTCCTGGTCGGGGGCTCGGGAGTTAGGACCCACGCACCTACAGACTCGCGCCGTACGTACGGCCAAACTTGGGAGCCCACAACATTTGCCGTAGACCATCGTGTAAGATTTTGATAAGATAGGAAAGCGGATTTTTAATGCACTCGCCGAAGTTATCTCTCTCAATTTTATTGTGCATGCAGAGGTCGGCAAACCCTGAATAACTGTCACGGGTACTGGTGCCAGGGTCGAATAACTGTATGGAAATTTTTTGGTAAAAGCCGAGGAAAGGTCGTCAATTAACTGTTCGTTATGAGAACTTCTCAAAGCTAGCGTTTACCTCCTTGCAATATGGAAGGTTTGGTAACCTAATGATGAAGTTTATAGCTTCAAAACTGCGCAAACCTGCCTTTTGGGGGAAATTTCTGCACCCTGCCGTACGGATGCCGTACCAGGTACAACGGGTACAACGGAAGGACCCGCTGTACCAGCGGCGTTTGCCGACCCCTGTGTGCATGACAGCTAATACTGCGTTTCGTACGGACCCCCTTTCGCACGATTACTCGGATTTTCTCTGAAGTTGTAGTGGTAAACGGATGAATTGCAATAATTCCGAGAGATTGTGGCGAAATAGATGTTTTTGTTTTGACACCGTTTTCGTTTTGACACCGTTTTTGTTTTGACAGTTGGAGTTTCTTTCTCAGTCTCGGTCTCGGAAGTGACCAGAGGCATGCGTTGAGCAGCATGCAGGACGCTGCTTGGTCTCCTCATCTGCCGCATCTGCGCAGTCCCCATAGAAGGTCCAAAGCTTCTGCTTAAAGTCGTCGGATTTTCCGGGAGGTCGCTTCCTTGCTCGCAGCGTATCGCGAAACCCTGTCCCGCTGCAGCTCTGAGTGTCACATCACTCCAGCCCCTAATCACATGCTATACTTCTGTTGCAGCAGCTGCTGCTGAAGCTGTAAATAAAACCGCGCTGCAGTAACCACAACATACTGCGTATTGATATAACTAGTGGACTTTGAAAATGATTTGGGCTCGTATTAGCAACTGCTTGTCGCGGAACGGAATACGGTTTTCAGTTGAAATGTAATATCTGTTTACAAACCAGCAATTTTGTTCGACTGCTGGTACTTACGCACGGACGGACGGCTGGGTGGGCTTACAAAACAGATGGACTTGCACACCCACCGACAAAGTGAACAGCCGAGCAGGTCCTCAAGGTGACGAAGAGAATACGTGATGCAGTGCTGGGCATTATGGCGCTTGTCGCGTCATATTAGGCGCAATTGACAGTTAACCAGCGAACCGTTAACAGTTAACAGCGAATCACCACAAAAAAGCCCAGCCTAGGATCACCCTCAGGTGTCCCGCGTGACTGCACTGTCCCCGCCCGACCTCCGCCGGGCAGGAGAGGACACGAGGGGACGGAGAATGTGACTTAAGGGAAAGGTTAAATCATGATCGCCCTCGCGGGGAGCCCCGGTTCAACGATCGACCCCTAGCAGCGCCCCGCCCTCAAGCCGCGCCCTGCGCCGCCACCGCCGCACCGCCGTCGCCGTCGCAAACCAAGCTTGCCATTAACCGCGGCCGTGCAACCACAACCAGCTGTTCAGGATCCGCGCACTCCAACACCATATCGCCACTGTCGCCGCCGCCGACGACGACGAGCCTCTCTGCAGCGCTGGAGGCTGCCGTCACATTCACCCCCTTCGCCGCTACCGTCGAGCTGAGAGTCGCGGTGATGGCAGCAGTAGCAGCAGCAGTAGCAGCAGTAGTACTTGCGGTGGTAGGATTGGTGGTCCGTAAGGATATGTAATCCCGGTTGCTGAGCACCAACAGATCGTAGAAGGTGCGCGCGGCGGTCATGCGGCGGCCAATGCCAGGTGCAGGTGGCTGGTGGTGGTTGTGGTTGTGGTGGTTGTGGTGGTTGTGGTGGTGACTATGGGGCCGGGAAGGGTAGCCTATTGGGGCAACGCCGGCTGCTGCTGCGGTGGTGCTGGTGGTGGTGGTGTTGCAGGCACCCGCATCCGGTGGTGGTGCTGATGGTGGCGGTGGTGTGTTGTCGGGATCTGTGTTGTGGGTCCACATGAGGGAGCGAAGCAGCTCAGCCGCCGTGGTCACCACCTCCACCTCCGCCGCCTCCTGGCGACGAATATGCGGTGGTGGTGGGGGGGGGCCGGGGGAGTTGAAAAAGGGAAAGGGGGCAATGGAAAGGAGAGGAAGAGCCCCCAGCCGTTGCTACCCGAACAGGCTGGGGGAAAGAGAGCGGTTTGGGGTTTTTGGAAGCAAGATAGGGGGGACTCAGAACCCCGGCGCCGTTTCACTCTATCACTACGACGACTACGACAACTACGACAGCAATTTGACATCACCAGCTGAATGTGACCCGATGACCCACACCCCGCACCCCACGCCCAACCCCTACCTGCCGCTGACCCGGCTGCCATTCCGCCACTGCCTCCAGTCGGCGGCGCTTCGCAGCCGGTTTCCCCCCACGGGGCCCCGCCCCCTCCTCCCCGCCCTCTAGGCTGCGGTCCAGCAGCTGCTGCTGCTGATGGTGATGATGGTGGTGGTGGTGGTACTGGTTCGTAGTGGCAGTGATGGTGGGCGCATCAGGTTGCCGAGTATCTCCCCTCGTCGTACAAGATGCCAACATGGTCTGTGAGCATATATATTCGGAGGGAGTTGTATATCAAATCACAGGTGACTTGCATACATGATTTGGGTTTCTAATTGTCGTCTCCCCCCGCCGCTCAAATATTTGTTTAGCCATAACCCTAAGCTCCTGTAAGGTAATTACAAATCAGGAAAAACGTCAAATTTTGTACGACGACAAAAATGTGATCAAATCGATAAAAAAAATCCCCGTCGTTGTCTTCCTCTATACACGCACATACAGACATACAAACACCTCCCGCTGCCCACGCATCCCCCGGGGGACATCCCGCTGGCCTTAGCTATCACCCGTACCTGCAGCGTCCGCAGTACGGTACGGGTACGAGAGGTAAAGCCGTCAGCGGCGATGTCAGCAGCAGTGCACCGCCTGTGCCGGGGTGCAGCTGCAACATGGGTGGTTGGGATGGAGGGGGAGGGGGAGGGGGAGGGGGATACAGTTGGGGAAGGGGCAACAAAAACTCACGTCAACAAACTTGCCGGCGGTGAAAACAGTACAGTAGCCATAAAGGGTTTCATAATCCGGATCGCGCTCCTAATCGTAGTAGTACAGTGGCGATAGCCAGATGAAGCCACCCCGGCAAGGGGCCACCTGCTAAGAGACCACCCCTCCCACACCTCCTCTTTCTCACACACCCCTAAGCGTTGTCCGAGCCCCACCCCACTACACACCCGCTCCAGCCTGGTAGCCAACCCTACCTGCGCTGTCAGCCGCCTCACGGTTCGGGTAGGAATAGGGGTGGGGGTGCTGGGGTCCATCCGCTTCCTGCTCGCTAACCCAAGCAGAACCAGCGCCGCCAGCACCACCAGCTATGGTGTCCTCGTCATCCATCACGTACAGCCGCACCTCCGAAACCGCTCCGGCATCCTCCACCGCCATTATCGTGGTGGTCTGCTCCTCCTCCTCCTCCCCCTCCTCCTCGCCCATGTCACCCTGTCCCCCGTTGACGCCCCCCTGATGCTGCTGGGGCTGGGGCTGGGGCGGCCGCTGCTCAAAGGCTTGCTCGCCGCCGCCACCGTTCCGTACCTCACCGGCATGAGCCGACGCCGACACCGTTGCTCCCTCCGAAGCCCGGCTGGCGGTAGACCTGACGTCAACGTTGCCAGACGGGGGAGGAGGAAGGGGAGGGGGAGAAGGGTGTGATGACGCATCATCACCACCAGCACCAGCACCAGCCGCCTCAGTACTCTCCGCCGCCGCTGCCACCACCTCCTCGTCTGCACTACTGCCGCTACTACCGCCGTCGTCGCCATCTCTGGATCTCTTCGATCCGGAGGTTCGGATGTTGGTCTTGCCGTTGCCGTTGGGGTTGGGGTTAGGGTTGGCTGCGGGACGAGGGCCCGCAACGTCAGGTTGTGAGGGAGCTGTAGCAGCGCCCGTGCCAGTCGGCTGTAGCCGCTGCTCACGGCTGTAGCCGTCGCCGTCGCCGCCACAGCCGCCATCGTCATCATCACCCGTTCCCGCCAGGACGAGGAAGAGGTGCTGCAGCCCTGGCGCCAGAGTCCGGGAGGGCAAGGACGCAGGGCCCGCCGCTACCTCCAGCGGCCGCTCCGCCACGCACCACCCGCCAGCAGCGGCGCCGCCATAACTACGGTCGCCGTCACCGTGGCCGCTGCCGCCGCGGCGGTGCTGCTGGTTGTGGCGGCTGCCGTAGAAGTACGGCATCCGGTGCCTGCGGGAGCAGGTGGATACCAGACGGCAGCGGGCGGTCAGCCAGGGGCTGTAGAAGCCGCCGCCATCGCTGCCGCCACCGCCGCCGGCAACGTGGCCGTCAGAACCTCCGCTGCCGGCGCCGCCGTTGCGTGAACCCCCACACTCGGAGGGTAGTGGTGAGTAGAGGCGCAGGGTGGCGGCCTTTCGGCGGTTGATGTCGAGCAGTGGGGTACGGTCCTGTGGCCAACATGCGGTGGGGGAAGGGGAGGGGAGGTGGAGGAAGAGGACGGAGAGGTGGGGGGACGGGGCTGGGCTGTGGTGCGCGTGCGGGGGTGGTGGTGGTGGTGGTGGTGGTGTTGGTGGTGCGAGAGAGGGTAATCGGGTGTAACCATCCCGCTTACGGATACGGAATAAGTGGCAGGGGATTTTGCCTTTCTAAGAACTTTCGGATTGGCAGCTAGAGGGATTTGGGAAGAATGCGCTTAAAATGTTGTGCTGTACGGTAATCCGCGGCTCCCACGCACACCCTTCTACCCTTCCACGTTAATTATACTATCCACTCCATCCCCTCTCCTTACCAAAACATGCGCACATCAAAGCACTGAGGACGACTGTACACTGGTACACGACGCGCTCAATGCAGGTAGATAAACTCCACGGAGTCGCGTCATTGCTTTGGACTTCAGCAGTGTCCAGGTTTGGACGTCAAAAATCGGCAGTTGTTGTTTTTGTTACAAATAGCAAAAAGCGCTTTACCCCCTCGGGTCCTATTACGGCTGTCAGATTTTACTGCTGGCATTTGAATGTCGGCCATTTTCCAATATTTCTCTTTACCTTGCCTTCGCATTATATATTTTTCCCCCTTCGCTAAAAAGCTACACATGCATACATATAAACGACCCTGTCTGTCATTATGCCACACCTCGGCGCCCTCGTCGCCTTTCTGCGCGCACCAGCACCCTTAAACATCACCTCGCAGCTTCAAGGCCATACTTCATTGCCGCACATTTATTTGCTAACAAGGCATCATCTTTATTTCTTCCTCTGTTACCTTCTTTCTTTTCAAAGTTATTCGGACCGGCGCCATTACAGAGCAGCTCATTTCTACGGGCGGTTGACAACATTACCCACCGAATCAACATCTATCCGAAAAACTCAACAGCTGAGTCTACAAATTTTCATTTGGATTTACATAACGTCGCTGGACTATGAAGCTCGCTTCGGTTCTTAAAGGTTGTGCAGCACCTTCGGCATTTCCCGCATCGTCCGGCTCCTAGAATCATTAATACACAACATATACGGGTCAGCTATCATGAAACTCAGTCACCATTCCAAAAGTTTGGCTGTCGTCCCACCTGCAGCAGCTCCCGCATGGAATGTGCCGGTAGCGTGGTGAGTGTACGGCCCTCACGGTCCACGTCAGCAGTCAAGCTCCTGCCGCCACCGCCGCCGCCCGCGTTGCGATTGCTTCGATGCTCACCCTGGGCGGTAGCGGCGGTGCTGCCGGCAGGGCCCCCTGCCGCTGCTACAACTGCTCGGTCGCCGTAACCGGGGCCGGCTGAAGGTGCTGGCGGACTCGACGACGTGCGTTTCTTCTTCCCGGTCTTGCCGCCGCCGCCGCCGCCGCCACCACCGTCGGGTTCCTCTCCATCGGGCGCCGCCGCCGCCGCCGATGTTGTTGCTAACACCAGTGCGGCCTGGGCGCGAAGCGCAGCAGCACGACGAGGCTTCTGCGTCCCTGGCGGCTGCGGCGGCTGCGCTTCTGATGGCGATGGTGATGGTGGAGCTGAGGAGGGGGAAGCGGAGCTCTTGGCGCCGTCGACGTCGCTGTGTGCTGCTGCAGCTGCTGCTGCTACTGCATCATCCGCCGCTGCGGGGTTTCCTCCTGCGTGTGTGTGTATGTATGTGCAACAGCCACAGCGCGCGGTGTACGGTATAAGGTGCTGTGTAGGAAGCCGGCACCCGTACGATATTTACTAAAAACGAAACGGGAACAGGAAAAAGGAAGCGTCTCGAGGGAGAGGGAGGACACGACAGAGGCCGAGTAGAAGGGGTGGGGGGGTGGGGGGGGGTGACTCTCGCCAGCCCACTAGTGTGGACGGATGTGTGTGCCTTCCCCCCTCCCTTCCACCTTACGGGAGGGTCGCGGAGTCGCCTCTTTGCAGTCAAGTCAACAACTTCTTTTTTTCCGCAGTTTCAATTGCTGAAGGGATTCCTTAAACTCTGGTGGAGTCGATCCCGCAACCAAAGCCGCCCTGCAACCACGTCGCGAAGCAACGCAGGCCAACCAACTCCCAATAAACCAACACACACTAGACTCTACCCGCGACGGGCAGCAGCAGCGACGATGACGACGGTCCGCCGTTGTCGTACTCCTCTCGAACTTGATCCGTTGCGTCGCCCTCCGCCGCTGCCGCTGACATCGGTCCCCCGGCAGCATCATCGTCTGCCGCCACCTCGCCGTCCGCATTCTTTTCACCTCCACCTTCATCGGACGTATCGTGATCATCCTCGGACTCCATTTCCTCATCCACTCGCCCATCTTCTTCTTCTTCTTCCACTGCTGCACTCATCATCATCATCATCGTCTGCGCTCCGTCACCACCACTCTGCGAAATGAAAGCACCATTGCACCATTGATTGGTCTTTATGATGTTTCAGTTACCCCAGAGCTAATGGGGGCGGCAACGGAGGAAATCCCAGGACCAACCCTCAGTCATTACACGCAAAGCCAGCCAAGCACCCATGCACCCATGCCCAGGTAACCATGTACACATAAAATCTCTACTGTCCTAACTAAGTTAAAGTCAAGTCTATTTTTGTTTAATTTTTATTCTTAAGTTTTAAGTTAGAGGTTTAAGTTGCTCTCTCGCTGCCATCCTCCTCCACCTCCGGGCATAGTTAAGAGTCCCAGACGCACCGGCCCCCCTGCGCAACTCTTTCAAAGACAAACACCCCACATACATATACACACATACAGCTGTGTGACGCAATGTCATGTCATGCAATGTAATAAGTTACAAGGGGGAGGGGGGAGACCGGAACCCTCCGGTGCCTGGGGTGGTACGAGACGCACTCACACACGGGACATAACATCTTACACTCCCTCGCACACACGAATACACGAATACACACACAGAGGCAGTTGCGCGGTCTCCTTAAAGACGCCACTGCCACTTGCCCCCCCACCCCATACCACCCCGACCTGCTCGGGGGAGGACTCGGGCGACTGGACCAACTCGCCCTGATCGCCCTCCGTTGCCTTGGCCTCCGCGACCCCGCCTTCGTCATCTTCTTCAGCTGATAGTAACGCTTCCACCGGCGGTGTGCAGGTCGGGCCACCGCCGGCTTCATCACTGCCTGCTGCCTGCCCCTGCTGCTGCTGCTGCTGCTGGTGGCGGGTAACTCCGTCAAGGTCTCCCTGACTTGCATTCGCAGCCCTAACGGTGTTTATTTGTCGGTGTGTTATATATCCGTGCGCGGGGGTGGGGGGTGTTGGGAAGCATTAGGGATTAGGAGTGTGAGTGGCATTGGGGGTTTGGGGGGAATTGCGGGAGGGATTGGCAATACCGTCACTCGTGAAACATGATATGCATGGTATGCATCATCCCCTTGCCATTAATACGCGAAATCCTCCCTCCCTCCTCGCCCCGCCGCTACCTCACGGAACCCACACTTCGTTCTCACCCACCCCAACCAGGACTCCTGCCAGGGACACGTACCTCAGCGCCTCAATTTCATGCTCGAACAAATCGAACTCGAAGTGCTCCGGCATCTGCGTCACCAAGGCGAGATCAATATGACGCCATGAACAGCTGCAACAGCAGCATCGTCACCACCACCGCCACACGCAAAAACACCTCCCCAGCACCTCCCGAAACACACACACAGCGGCCGCAGACGTGCTACATCGCCCGCGTTTGTGTGCCTCTTCCCGGGCACCGTATCTCCCCGGCCGCCCACTCCACCACCCCATCAATACGCACACACATACACGCACACAAACACACACCTCTTCAAAGTACTGATTGCGATCATCCTCTCCAGTTGCTGTTGTCGTCGCCATTGCCGTACCAGCCGGATACTGCGGGTCGCTGAAAATTAACCCACTTCCATTAACACCACCACCTCCGAAACCACTTCCCAGACCGGACGACCAGTGCCGGCCCCGGGCCGTGTTAGACAGGAGAAGACCACCGCCGCCACCGGGGGCTGCCGGAGTCATCTGCGTGTACAACGTGTTTTTTTATTTTCGAAAAGGGGGAAGTGGCAGGGGAGGAGCAGGGGCATCACAGAGTCGCGGCTGTGTACCAGCCAGATCCGCCATATGTCCCCATACCTATCATGCAGGGTTTATGCTCGTCACCACCTCAACCCCCCTTTTTCAAGCTGGCCAATTAAACCCCCGACACCTCTCTCTCCCCCTCACCCACCTCTCACTTGTTCGCGGTTCGTCTCTCCCCATCACCCAGCCGCGCTGCGCTTTTCCCTCACTCCGTTCCTCACGCCCACTGCGGTATTCCACATCTTTCCCTCCCCCCTAATCTCATCTTTTCCCTCGATATTTCAGCCGGGGCCCCTCCTCTTTCACACTCACATAACCCACTCATACACACACACGCACTCACCCAAGTATCCACTCCGCCCTCACTCTCGCCACCACCACCACCAGGGTTCGCTCTAGCTGCCTCAGCGGCTGTAGCAGTAGCAGTAGCAGTAGCAGTGGCCCCCTGCAGCAGTAGCTCCAGAGAGACCGGAGTAGCTGTAGCACCCATACCCGTGAGCTGCTGCTGCTGCTGCTGTAGGAGGGACATGTGGCTGCCGGCTCCTGCCGGGGTTGTCACAGAGAGCGAAGGGGAAAAAGGCGCACAATCCGCACGCCCTCTCATTAATAAGCACCGCGGAATGAACCGCATTGAAGGTACCGCACTGCGCGACACCTCCCCACACGCCCGCCCGCTCACCTTCCTCCTCTCCTTTCTCATGTACTCACACGGACACACGAACAGGTAGTAGGCTCAAACCATCCCACCTCCGAGCCATACCCCCATCCCTACCCGCTCACCTTCCAACAGGATCTCCTCCTCGTCGTACGCTGACGTCATCGCCAGCATCATGTCCCCGCTGGAACCGGCGCCGCCACCAGCCAGCGCGGCGCCGGCGCCGGTGCCACCGTTGCGCCTGCGGCCCCGTGCCGCCACCGCCCGGCGGCTGTCGCTGTCGTCACTCTGTCTCCCGCAAACGTACATACATACATGGATACATATATACACACATGTACGGCATGTAAACAAACGCGTACATGGATGGATGGATGGCTGCATGCATGCATCTCCCAGCCCGGCTAGGGCCTCGATGTCACACGTGGGGTTGGTCACGTGAGGAGATCGAGCACTCAGGGGCCCGCAGCGCTAAGGGGGTTGGGTGGAGCTAACCGGGTTGCTGTGACACATGGCAGTGATTTGTGTCGGTGGCTGCAGCTGCGGCTGCGAAGCATTCTAAAGGGAAAGCCGATTTCAGGTAGCTGGTGGCTATGTATATAATGATTGGCGAAGTTTAACTTGGTGGGGCACCATCCTTGGTAATCAAGAACTCAGGCGTTCGAATCCCAGAGAGGGAAATCATCCTTGTCGGATGGTGAGGGTCCCTTTACTGCCCCTGGGTCCTCAGAGGATGAAGGTCTGATAAGTGAAGGCTGGAAACACTGAGATCCTTCAGTGCGCTGGGCAGCTGACGCGGAAGCTGGCCAGTATAGATTTATAATATACACTGCCTCAGAATAGTAGAATAGTGGTATAGGAATGATTCTGTATAGGACACACACACGCGCGCGCGCACAAAGCAGACTTCAGACGTCGCCCGGAGAGCAGCATCAAGTCACGACCGAGCGACCGACCGACCGACCTACAGACATACAGACATACATACAGACAGACAGACAGACAGACATACAGACAGACAGACAGGTAGGCTAGCGTGGGCAGGTTGGCAGAGGGCACACCCCTTGTCACCCGACACATATTCCGTAAACGGCCGGCGGCACACACGCTGCCACTTGATGGCACGACGCGCCGTCGACTCGTACCGTACGGATGCTGGACTGGGGGTGGTCGCCGCTGCCTCCACCACGCGCCTCAGAGTCCCCTTGCTGCTGCTGATGGTCCAGGGTGCCGTACGCGAGGGGTACCTCATTGGGCCTTATGTTCTTTAGCACCAGCAGTGCCCGCTCGCAGTCCTGTGTGTGTATGAGAGTGTGTACGAGTGTTGTGTATTAGGGGGGTTGTCGAGAAGCAGGGCACCGACGGCGGTGTGACGCCCCGCTAACAAACAATTAGGCCACCATGTTTGCAAGTATTATATGACTGTATGTATGTCGTTACAGGGTGGTTAACTTCGCCAGCGGCCCCCTGTATGTATGTCGTGCTCGTCATTGAACGCCGGTCTGCACAACATGCCGTTTATACAAAACATTTACATTACAAATCCCCCATCAGATATACATACACACACACGCATGTGCACACACACACACACGCACACTCTGAAGCACGGAAAACCAGCCCGGCCGCCGCATCCTCTTCTCCCCTCCTTCCTCGTCCCCCCACACCTCCACTTCTTCTCTATCTACTGGACAACCTCGTGCCCCCAACCCACACGCACACCCACTCTCCCACCTGCAGCAGGTACGCCACCTGACGCGAGTAAATACGACACACCCCCAGCAGCAGCTGCCCACTCAGCCTCAGAGCCAGCGGGGCGGCATCCGTGCTCCTGCCACCGCCACCGCCACCGCCATGACGACCTGCCGCCTGTGTAGCTCCGGAACCAGTCAGACAGTCACTCCATCAATCAGAGTATTGTCACAGTGGTTCGTCCAACCATGATAACAATAATGATAACAATAATAATTATTGCTGTAATCGTACAACGTCCTGTGCACGTGATGCATGTGACAGCTAGCTCAGTCAGTTGTGTCCTCCTCGGATTGGCATATTGCAGCAGCAGCAGCAGCAGCAGAGAAGGAGGAGGAGGAGCTGTAGGAAGACGAGGAAAGGGAGGGCAGCTTCCCAAAACTGATTAATTCTGTCATTGATCTCTTTTCTCGCGCAGAGGACGTACATACCAGGTTTAACACCTGGCGTACGTACTGAAGATTGTGAAAACGTGATTCAAAAGCCTGGCGGCATTCTGTCGTACGTCGAAATCTTCGCGAAGCATAAAGGGACCGCGAGGGGGCTCGAAGACTACACCCCGCAAGCACACACAAACACACACACAGCGACATGCCCGGTCAAATAAGATGCAATACATACATACATACATATACATATATACATACATACATAGACACACATGTTACCATACAGAAATGCATGCGTACCGACACCGCCGAGGCAATAAGGCGGTCCGCACCTTGCGCCTCTTGCCGTTGCTGGCCCCTGCCTCTCCCCCTCCCCCCCCCGGTTGCTGAGGAGGTCCCCCCGAGAATATCCCCCCGGGCGCATCCGGGGCCAAATACACCTCCACCATCCGGGGGATGGCGGTTCCGTCCACCAGCTGCCGATTGAGCTGTCGATCCAGGGTGGCCGCCACCCACAACACCTGGGGAGGGGAGGGGGAAAGGAAGGGAGTGAGGTGGAGGAAACACATGTACGAGAGGATACCAGGCAGGAAGAAACACACTGGCCTCCTTTAAGGGGGGGAAATGGTTTGTGTTGTAGCAGCGTTTCGGGGCCCCCTACCCACTACCCCCACTACCACCAACTACCACCAACTACCACCCACCCACTACCACAACCCACCTGAAGGGGGCCATCCCTGGACACCAACTGAGCTGCGTAGAACATGACTACTGCACCCCCTTAGGGTTTCCTCCTGCTCCTCCTCCTCCTCCTCCTCTCCTGGCTGCTTCCACGTGTGGTGGATAAGACCGAGGGTTTGACCGTTGACCCCTGATTGCTCGCGTCGTGTCAAGTGTCTAGTGACTAGTGCCTATCTATCCCTTAGGGAGAGTGCCGGCGTCTGAGGCGTTGCGGATGTAGTCGAGAAATAACGTCGACCTGTCGGGCGCTCCTGCTGCTGCTGCTGCTCTTGGTGTTGGTGTTGGTGTGCTTTCAAGTGGAAAAGAGCCCCCCTGTTCCTTCTGTGTCTCTCTGCTAGTACGGGTGAGGGTACGGGAGAGGGTACGAGAGGTTCCTGTGGTACAACTGACCACCAGCTGGCTTATGTAGCCAGGCTCCCACCCGCAACAGCAACAGCAACAGCAGTACCGGGCGGCGGTTTGAGGAAGTGTGGAGAGGTTCAGGGCGGATGTGTGTCGTCCGCGTCCGCGTCCGCGTCCGCGTCCGAGGGTTACACGGTTGGCGGTTGACTGGCGGTGGTTGGGTTGGAACCCCGCCCGGCGTTGACGGTGTCGACGGATGGCAGTTAGCGATCTCCCAGTATCGTATCGTATGTGGTGCTGTGCTGTTGAATGATGATGAGCAGGTCAGGGTGGGCCAGTGCACCCGCGAGGGGCCGTCAGGGTTCGGAAGTGGCGCTGAGGGCAAAGTCGGCGTTTGCTGGATGGCTGCTTGGCGTGATGGATGTATTAGCGGATAGCAACTGCGGTGGATAGAGGCTAGAGCTGGGTAGTGAGCGTACTGTAGGGAGAGATGGATGTTGGAAGTGTAGCTTAAAGGCGCCGAGGCTGCAACGATATCAAGGTCAGAGCGGCTGGGAGGTGGTGGGAGATAGCGGAGCAGTTGGTCTTCGGGTGTCCCGTTGTGCCTGTAATGCAAGGTGGGTACATGAGATGAGTGCATAGTACTAGTGTAATGTTTTGCAGTTCGTTAACGCGCGTTTCTGAAACCATGTCGTATACATTGTGCTAGTTCTTGCTCTATAAGCTTTGGCGCAAAGAGAAAGGAGCCATGCAGAGGCTCTGGGGCAGGATGTCAGCCTTAATGACGGACCCACAACCTTTGGCAAGGTTCAGGTGATATGCCGTTTATGGGCGTAGAAGTTGTCATTCCCGAGCGATTATGCTTGCTTATGCCGCGAGCCCAAAGCAGGCCCAGCACACGCAACGAAAAACAGGTTCAAGTGCACGTGACATTCTGGGCGTAAATGTCATCAACACATATAAATTTTTGCATACCAGGAATATTAACGCGATGCCGCGCCGCGGCCGTCCATCATATGTCGCGTTGGTTGTGCTGCGGTTGGGGTTCTTTAAGCTATGCCTACCCCCGTATGCCTACCCATTAATAGCATTTGCTTGACCCGGCAACATATAACTAGTGTCAAAAGATTGGTGGGTTGCGTCAAGGCTAATGCTGCTATCCTGTTACGTGATTACCTTTAAGAAACAAATACTAGTTTAAGCTCCGATGTGACTCAGCAAATAATCCTTGAAGGCATTGCAAGATGATGCCCTGTGCGTCATGCTGCGGCCGACGCCGTGCTACGCGCGCTGTGCAAGTACGGATGCTCCTGAGGGATGATTATGGGTCTTATGCCACATATACGGGATCCGGACTATACAACTGTACATAGTTTATGGCGGCATTTCCAGCTTAGATCTTACCTGAGGTCAATCTTACGAACTAAAGTGCAACAAGCATTTTGCAAGCGTGATACCATATGAAAGTCAGGGTCTTGCCCTCGCAAATCGTGAACCCTTCCTGCGCAAGTCACATTTTGGACACATCAGGCAGTCTATAACATAGGGAATTATCTTTTTAGAAACGTTCTGCCCTATCGCCGTATATCGGGGATTTCTGTTTCGCTTTGATTGGTGATTCTGGAGCCCTGGGTTCATATTGATTAAAATGTAAATTTGTCAGGGTTAAACGTATGGAGCAGCAGGGAGAAGCGAACCTAAAGGGTCGACAGGTACCAGCTCCCTTGGGTACAATCATGTAAAATTCTATTTGGCCGCCTTCCTGCTGCGGGAAATACGATTTCCCCAGTCTTTCAAGTGTCCCCACCAAGCGCTTTGTGGCGATCGCACACAGGCAGCTCTTCCCCTCTTCCGCTGATTATCGCAGCTCCACGCTACTGTTGCGGGTAATATACCACGTGGCGTAGGAGGCTGTGATTAACGACGAAGGGATCATGAGGAGCACGCACAGTCATTGACAGCGGCGAGGACGGCAAACTTCGCGAACGTCAGACAGGCAGATTAAGGACAGATCTGGCCGCCTTGCTGCGATGCAATAGCAGCAGCCAAGGAGGCAGAGCTCAAGGACCTGGGGCAATGAGAATTTGACCGAAGCGTGTGAACGCGAATGGTGTTTTCCGCCTTTCACTGCAGGGAGAGCAAGTGTGATCGCCCTAACCCAAGTTATACACTGCTAGACAAGCAATCCTGCTGGCATGCATCGCATAGCTAATGATCCGATCGGAATCCGGCGTCAATGTATTTGGAATAAGTCGACCGCGTTAAGACAGTGACGTCTGCCCATGTGCTCCTTTCATCCGCCCGCGCCTAACATCATATGTGAGTTATACAAATAGATACAAAGGATATAGGTATATAAAAAGATGAAGCTCCGATACCGGTACTCCTACACCGATAAGCCATCACCGGATGAGCAAGTTCGGCGCCGCCGCTACAAGCTGCCCCAACCACCATCCCCCACGATCTGCATCCAGTCATCATTACCTGCAGTGAAGTACGACCCTCTCTCTACTCACGCACCACGTTCCACTCTGTCGATCCCGCCTTGCTCTTAACACAACTACCAACCTCAGCTTCAAAGTCTTCCCGAAAACGTTGCCTGTCTGTTGCCGACATGTTACGTGCTCAGCAGGTAGCCTCAAGGCAGCAACCAGGCAGCCCCATCAAGCAAATTCCTCCCCTTCCTCCCCTAGAAGGCGACAAGACAGACTGGATTCCAGCTCTGAGCCGATCGATCTGGGTCGGGACAGGAAACCCCAACTGAGTTGCGGCTGGCGGTGCTTGTCTTATTTCCCCAACCCTTCCCTTTCCATCAAAAACACCCTCCATGTGAGGCGTTCACCTCTTTTCCCCGCCCACACACATACACACAAACATTCCACACACGCACAACACATACACATACACACACGTTTCCCACTTGCCGTACATCAAGCCACCTAACGATGGAATGGATGATACCGTTCTTTCCCCTCCCCTCCCCCACCCGCACATCCCCGCGGCCAGGGCGGCGAATAGAGCCTCGGTGCTGCAAGGTGCATGATGCATCAAGAGCTCAAAACGCTATTCGATGTAAGAGTACCGTACAGAAAAGAGACCACGAACCCAGCCTGGGACGGAGGCTGACCGCCTCAAGCCGAACGTGCACATGCTGTAACGTTCACAATAGGTAAAAAAGAAGAGAGCGTCCTTGGCGCGCAGTTTTATAATTAACACTAGAGCCTGCTGCCTTAATTGGCCATGCTTAATGGACTTTTTTTCCTGCAGTACATGTACGCACAAGCACAAAAGCGCTATCCGCTAACCCAAACGTTGGTTGTGTTGTAGGATATTCCGGACTGGGGAAAGAACAACAACTTCAAAAAACAGGTCACCGCCTGCCCCGGCGTATGAACTCGGCATCGTTACTCGGCACTGGTATCACGCCCAACGCTCTCTCACTCCGCAACCTCCCACTGCACCTTCCAGTCCTCTCATCAACCTCCGTCTGCACAACCACAACCACAACCACAACCACGACCGCGACCACAACCACAACCACAACCACGACCGCGACCACAACCACAACCACAACCACGACCGCGACCACATGGATATTCCAAACGGAGGAGAGCCCCGGGCGTCAACCGGACGCGGTACCTTAAATTAACCTCAAAGCTACCCATTGAAGTTGCCTGAATGAAATTCTTCTTCTTCTCTTTCTTCTTCTTGCCAATAATGGTGCAATGGTGCAATGGATGGATGGATGGATGTTGCAACACAGCACAGTGGAGCACAGCACGGAACATCAGCACACGGCGAAAGTAAACCAGCAGCAACCTCTTGTTTTGAGGTCACGTGGGATCCCTGAGTCCCTCGTTCCCTTATCCCCAACCTTTCCTCCTCTTCCGCCTCCCTTTTTACCCTCAGCCAATCCTCCCCCACGACCTCCTCACCCCAATACCAGAGCCTGCGCTCTCACATCCATCCATCCCCCCACCTCGCGCCGCTCTACCCAAACAGCGGAATCAGCAGGTACTCGGCATAAAACAGCCTCCATACAAACATGTAGTAGTCCGTCAGGTCTTCCTTACGGCGCGTGTCCACAAAGCGAGCTCGGCCCAGCAGCAGCGCCGCCAACAGGCCGTGACCGGCAAACAGCGCAGCCTTGGCTGCCGTACTGGCGGGAAGCGCCAGGGAAATCCCCATGGCCCAGCAGTAGGCAGCTGTCAGCATGCCCACGCAGATGCGGAAGACACTGCCCTCGCCAAGTCGTACCGACAACGTACGGACCTGTGCATGTGCAGGTACCGCCAGTGGTGGTGGAGGTGGTTAGGGTAGTTAGGGTGGCTTTGCTGGCAGTTGCGGTTGCAGTGGTTATATCAAGGTCGATTATCTGACAGAGGTTAGTTATATTTTGTTGAACGCTTCCGGGCAAGTTGGAAAGATCGAATCCAGGGAGGCTTGGCAATCAGACCACAGACATGCAAACAGCCGTAAATGTTTTCAGGATTCTTCCCCCATGCATACGACACGCAGCAACATCCAATGCAAGGATAGGAGAGGGTTGGGACGCCCATATGGGGATATGCAGACGCCCTGGGGCGAGGTATCCAAATCAGGACACGTCCGATTTTAAAGGTGGGCAATCCATCTAAACCTCATAGTCTTTTCCGCCCAACTCACCCCGGCCTTACGGTCGCCCAGCACATCCGGCAAGTCCTTGAACAACGCAATGACAATGGAGAAGAACAACATGAACACCACCACGAACCACACTGAGAGACTCAGGCCCGACAGAGAGCTCATCAGCGCCGCCGCAGCTCCGTCGACTGAGACGTTCCGTACGGCAGTGGCAGCGCCGCCGTCGGCTGCCGCCGCCGCTGCTGCTACTGCTTTAGGTGCTGCTGCAACAGCTGGTACAGCAGTAGCTGCTGCTGCTACAGCTGCGGCGGCACCGTCCAATGCGACTCGCATGTGTGTGTAGAACCCCAATTGGACGATGATAGCACGAACCTGCAGATGGGGGCCGCCGTACGAATTAATGAAGTTTGGGAGCCGCGGACCGTCTGTAATGATAAGAGTTCAGAATTATGTGGGCGAAACGTCTTTCCCCCCCAGTCGTATGGAACCCCTTCTCCGGGTATCATGACCTCAACCCCCCCCCTTCACTAGCTGAGATGGGCCTGGGGCCGGCCCCTGACGAATAGTGGAAACTTACCGCCAAGATGCACCCAGCTGCCAGTATGGGGGAGCGCTTCCTGCGGCGGGAACACAGAGAGGGCACAGGGGCAACCAAAACACATACGCACACGCACATGCACGCGTGCACTGAAAACGCGCATGTCCGTATAGAGGGGCTGGGCCGGTAGAGCAGCACATCATGGGGCACGCAGTTCCTGTGCGTGCTGATACAGACATAAATACAGCTTAACATGGGCACACTTTGTCCGTCAAGGGCATACTATTGTTGAAAGCAGGAACATGCATTCCAGCTGATTACAAAACACGGGAGTAGATGCAACTCTACGACTGCAAACGCGGCAAAAGTACAGACACAGGAAAAAGACTCCCTACACATACGCGCAAAGCACAAAGCACCCCTACCTCATGCACCCTGGCGCATCAGACATATCCACATTCTACTGTTCTCGCTTCTCACCTACTACCGCTTAAAATCTCTACCACAATCGACTTCAGCGCAGCACCACACTTGCACCCACCATCGCATGAAGGGCAGCTCCACCGAGTACAACACCCCCAACACCAAACTGACCAGCAGGGTGGTCAGCAGAGCACATGAGCCGCTGGCAACACCAATCCAGACGCTCACACCCGCACACACAGCCACGATGGCGAGGCCTTGCGCCGGCGTAAGCGCACCGGAGGCGAGAGGGAGGTATGGTTTGTTCACCTGGGGCCGGGGCGGGGCGGGGCGGGGCGGGGCGGGGCGGCGCGGCCATGATGCGGTGGTTGGGCGGCGATGTCGTAGGGCAGGAAAGGGTTCGGGTCGGAGAGGAAAACGGCGAAGGTTGGAAAGGTTGGAAAGGGGTTTGGACGCTCGATAGCAAGTTGGAGGGCGGGTCTATAAAGGGTGTGTGGTATGGTGCGCGAGGCGGCGGTGGTAAGGCGGTGGGTCAGATGGTGGGGTCCGGCGGTGGGTCGGTGGGTGGAGTGTGAGGTTTAAGGCATGTCCAGCACGGAATGTCGAGTAGAGCGGGGGATTGGGTTTAGGCATTGGTCGAGGGCCCGCATCGGGCGTGGTGTAACAGGAAGGGGGCCAGAGTGCCACGGGCCCCGCGTTCGTACAGCGTGATCAGCTGTCGGCATGAAGAGCTTACGGAAGCTATTGTGTATCTCTTGAGATAGGTTGCATGAGCAGAAAGAGACTGGTCTTAACTGTCCGCAGCTTCGCACCTTGTCAATTTCTATGTCGTAGAGCTGATTGACGCCAACAATCGCAATGTTCATCAATAGCGCAGATGACAATGCCTGCAGAAATGTCGTAATCGCCACAAGCCCTAGCTCAGCTCCAGCCAGAGCGAGCAAGGAGATGGAGGTGACCGAAAGGGCCGTCCCTATCATCGTATGCGGTCTGCTGAACTGATACAGCGCCGATGCAAATTGTGCTGCCGTAGATAAAGGGCTAGCGATAGCTGCCTGCCCTGATTGACCATCGCCTTGCTCGCCAACCACCGATGCGCCAGCTCTGATCAGCCGGACTCCAACCGGAAAAGGGTTCCCATGCCATCGCGCAGCGGAACCTTGTATCCGAAAGCAGTATTGAGATCTGGGATGGTAGAACTGGCTGCGGCATGGTGTTTCCGATAGTTGCTTGCAAGCAAGTGCCGAGCGAGATAACGCCATCGTCGGGGTCACCGCCCGTTAGGGCTGGCCAGCGTGCACCCTATCGGTGCACCGGCCGATTGGCCGGAAAATAATGAAATTTCGAATCACGCAACAGGGGCGCACTCAAGCGTTTTGCCAGAGGCGTAGAATCGAAAAACTTTGCAGTACGATGGAGTCCCCGGAAATATTTAGCTACCCAATGCTCAAGGTATAGACATTGAATGTACAAATCTATGCTGCAACATCATGTGTGTGCCGGAATGCGTGGCACCTCTTATGCAATTTTGAACTACGCTTCTATAGTCCATACGATAGCCCAAGGATTACATACATAGGCAGTTAAGTATGTCGTATAAAGAGTTGGGTTCGCAGTTACCTTGCGGCTTGCAGCTTGCATTGCCGTGCTGCTGGACCGCAGATTCTTTGGTACCATCCGTTTCCAGAAGTTTGCCCGTACATTTTCATATATCTAACGCTAGATGGCGCTTTCATGCTGCCAGGTTGAAGGTTGGGCGTCATACGCGGATGCCAAGCCGCGCCAGCATTCGACCCATGGACCAGCACTGACCATCCAACTCGGTGGACTGACGTGTACTCTCGCACCTCTGCTGATACCTAACGCGCCTGTAGCGCGTGCACTACAAACCAGCGCACGTCCGCTTTCAGAGAGAAAGAACATTAGGAAGGGTTTGTGTGCACGTGCAGCAGCCAATGTCTTAGGCCCTTGAATAAGGCTCCTCAGGCAGGCCGCATAAGATAGGGTGGGACAATTGAGTCTGCCGTAGCACGAAGGATTATTATGCACTAGCTTGCTGTAATGGCATGGCAGACTGATGCTGTTTGCAACAGAACAAGCAGTCTTAAGGCAAGATGCAGGCTGCGAAAGGAAGTAAGTTTCGCCGTTTAGGGCGTAAAGCGATTACTAGAAATTATATTGCACAGAGAGGACACGGCCGTTGCTGAGGTAAAATACATACAGGGATAGAGCATGGCACATGCAGATGGGAAAGAGGATGTAACTGGGCTACCAGACAACCTGCTGCCTGCCGTACTTGGGCTCAGGGGCTTGGACTTCCGTGGTCACCCGTACGCAAGCGAGCGATGCTGGGGGAAGGGAGTCATGCTTCTCGAGATCGTAAGGAACACAATCTTGTTCCCACTTTGAGGCAATGGAAGTCATTCGGGGCCAGGGGGGGCAGGAAGGTGTTCGTACTGACACGCGTCCCGAACAACCGCGGTTCGGATAAATGGGGAGAGAAGTCAAAAGAGAAAACAGGCGTTAGGTAGGTGTTGTGCGCTTCACATGCGGCTTCGGATAGGAAGGCCATGTGTGAACCAGGGTCTGGAAGCAGGCGTACGACACGAAGGGGACGCGCGGAAATCTACTGAGCAATCGCTATGGATTTCAAAAATTTTGACTTGACCTTTGTTTGTCAATTGCTCTTACGTGTCGCGGTGCAGTTCTCGACTGCCTGGCACCTTTGCCCTTATGCAATATCATAGTAAACTGTCCTTGCTGTAAGCTTATAGTTCACTGTTGATTGCATGTAATGTTTGCAATTTAAGTGCTGCAACAAGTTTTCTGTGACGTCTCAGACCATCCGTTGTCGATCGAAGTGTCGAGTTGACCACCCTGCGGCGCACGGCATCTGAACGCAAAGAGTAACTTTCACGGCTTTCCTACAATTTTGTAACAGCCCTCGCAAACATGCGTATTGAGGAAGTTTCGTCGACGACAAAGACTCAGCGCGTGGCAACTCATACGCATATCAAAGGCCTTGGTCTACAAGATAATGGCACAGCACTGCCCTTAGCAGCGGGCTTTGTCGGCCAAGAACAGGCTCGTGAAGCTTGCGGCGTAGTGGTGGACTTGATCCGCCAAAAGAAAATGGCGGGCCGAGCTCTGCTGCTTACTGGCGCTCCTGGAACTGGCAAGACAGCGCTAGCACTTGGCATAGCACAGGAGCTGGGCACCAAGGTACGCGTCCTTGCACGGCAAGGCGCCACGAGGGGAGCTGGCGCTGGGGAGGGTTCCGGTAATTTGAAGGGGGTTCCGGAGTGGGAAAAGCCTTCTCCGCCGGATCATTTTACCGGCCACATCTTTGCGCACCTCGCACACCAGCAGCCATAACACCGTCATATCTCGCGGACATCCTTTGGGCTCCCCGAACGATCGTCACTTTTGTTAAAACCTTTGAAAACCCTTTGAAGATGACTTTCTTCAATACGTCCCTTAGGGTCTATGTTCCCAGAGCACAGTGCTGGGGATGCCACGCCGCTTCCTGGGAGGGATGGGGGTGTTGGGGTCGGTGCTTCTGAACGAGTCACCGCTGGGATCACAAGCAATGAACAGCCGGTACAATGTGCGTATGTGTATATATGGATGCGAATCTGACCGGCCACCACAGCTACCGCCGAACCGGCCGTTCAAATTTTTTTAACGGACTCTCCCTCTTTACTGCAAGTCCATGAAGCCAAGCAAACTGTCCCCACAAAGGAATAGTTCGAAGGTCGGAGGATCTGGATCCGGACACGAAACTGAGCTCCAGGGTTGAAGGGGTGGAGGGGTGAAGTCCGCGGGGGGCTGCCGCCTCCAATTAAAGTAAGAACGGAGTGTGCGGAAGTGATACGGGTTGGTGCTGCCCGGCCGTTGTGTGTCCTCAGGTCCCCTTCTGCCCCATGGTGGGCTCCGAGGTGTATTCCTCCGAGGTGAAGAAGACGGAGGTGCTCATGGAAAACTTCAGGAGGGCCATCGGTAAGAGGGGGGTGGGGAGGAGGGGAGGGAAGGGAAAGACGAACCACAAATGAGTGAAGCTGCTGCCAGGGCAAGAGTGTACCAGACGTAGAACTGGCCGAAAGGCGTCCGTGAAGACGGCGACCTCGGAGGGGAGGGAAGGGAAGTCGCCGATGGGAAAAGCAGATGTGGTGGGAAGTGGGAAGGAAAGGATTGTGTGCGTGTTGGTAGTGTGTTAGTGAGTGGTAGTGGGTGGGTGGGTGGTAGGGGTGGTAGTGGGTGGGTGGGTGGTAGTGGGTGGGTGGGTGGTAGTGGGTGGGTGGGTGGGGCCCGTTTTCACCCAACCACTATCACCCACCGTGTGGCTAACAAGGAGTAACAGGAGTAGCACTGAGGACCTGGGCGGGACCCAAATGGGCGCTCATGAGGGGTCGTTAGCTGGTCGAGCTGGGAGCTGGGACTGGTCATACGTGGCCACTGCATTGGCGGGGAATATGGCCGATGCTAATGGACGGACGGACTGCTTTAACTTCGGCTGGCTGGCTGGCTGGCTGTCCGGAGAGTGTGTCCACTGAGGCTGCGCATGTTTACATGCAGCGGCAGGGAGGGGAGGACGGATGGGGCTTGAGGAGGATGGAGGCTGCCGCCCGCGGATGTGCAGCATGTCGCAGCAGTCGCCTAACCCCACCACCCCCACCAGCGAGATAGGACTCTCCCGGCAAGGGGGGTAAAGAAGCAGGGGGTGCACCCCTGTGCACCCCTGAACACAGGCCACCTGCACCCGCCGCACCCAACCCCTCCCTCTTTCTGCTCACGACACACCTACCGCCGCACCGCCTTCCCCACCCGCTACACGGCAACGACACAGGTTTCTTTTGTTCGCCTCGGCCCCCTCCTTAACTCCTGGCCCCAGGTTTGCGTATTAAGGAGAACAAGGAGGTGTACGAGGGGGAGGTGACGGAGCTGACACCCGAATACACGGAGGCTGTGGTGGGTTGGGGCGAGGGTAGCCCGAATCCCCGCAGGGAGGGGTATCGCGGGAGAGGGCGGGGGTTCGGATTTGAAAGTTAGCCGCTGGAGGGGGGAGCGACGGCGGTCCAGGCCTTCTTTAATGGGGTTAAAAGGGAGAGAGAGGGGGGTGCGCTGTCGCGCGAGTCGTCCCGTCTGTATGTCTTTCTGTCAGTTCGGGTGCTAGGCTTCCTAAGCCTCCGCTCCCCTATATAATGCTGGTGTATTGTTGTGTATGTACGGCAGGGTGGCGGGTACGGCAAGGTGGTGAGCCACGTGGTCATCGGATTGAAGACGGCCAAGGGGACCAAGCAGGTGAGAGCGGGGGGAAGAGAACACGTGTGGGTGTGGGGGGGTGGTTGCGGTGGTTGGCGGTTTGGTTTCTGTTGGTGGGCATTGGGGGTGTAACCGTGTTGCACCGGGGGTTGAAGGAGACGGGACGGCATTACGAGGAGTGAGAAATAAAATCTAAGACACACTCACACACGAACTGAGTACAGCATTCGTAAAGCGGGGTAGCTGCTGTGTTGGTGGGCGTGTGGATGTAGGCTTCAGTCCCCCGCTAGCCTTGATGCTTCTGGCGTAACAGTCTATATCCTCCTTGGCATCAGCTTCACTCGTTCATGGTTCGTCTTCCCCCCTAGCCTTGCCCTAGTCGCCCATCCCTACCCCGATATGTGCATGTGTTAAAATATGTTCTACCCACTCACCCTTCCCCCTTCGAAGGGGTGACGCATGACCTTTTCCGCAGTTTTGTGACCACTTCTTCCAACCCCTTGATCTTTCCGGATCCCTCTCCTTCCGCGGCTGCTCCAACCCACTGATCGGGCCCCCCCCTCCTCTCTATGCGTGTTCGTGGCACTCCGCAGCTCAAATTGGACCCCACCATTTACGATGCGCTGCAAAAGGAGAAGGTGCAGGTGAGGGAGTTGGGAGGGAGTTGTGGTGGGAGCGCGACAGGTCCGGCCTCGCAACAACGCGCTTGTAGGGGGCCCCGTGGAACTCGTCAGCGGGGGCTCATTGCGGGTGATAAGAGCCGACATACCGACATACTGGCATTCCATTGCGACATTTCCTAGTAGTAGTAATAATAATAATAATAAGCGTCTCTTCCCTGGTGCTAGCTTCCCCCTACCTTGTCTCCCTCTTTTTCTTTCTCCCTCTTTTCTTTCTCCATCGATTTCATTGTCGTGTTTTGGCAGTCTCCCCTACGCGGCCTACCTAGGGGAGGTCAAATGTGTGGGGTTTGAGTCTGTGTGGATTTCCCTTTCTTCGAAATCCCCCTCCTGACCGCGCTTTTCCCCCCTCCCCTCACCCCCTTCACCCTTCCATACCCCGCGCGCCCCCAGACGGGTGACGTCATCTACATCGAGGCCAACAGCGGGGCAGTGAAGCGCGTGGGCAGGTGGGTGACCGACTGGATGGCTGGGGGGGGGCGGGGGTGACTGGCCGGGGTGAGGGGGAGGGGGAGGGGGATCATTTCACCCCTAACGTGCCAATAACCAGGGTCTGTCGACTGGGGACGCGTCTGGGACCCCCTCGCCCCAACCCCGCACCGTTCCCTTCATAACCGTACATACATACTTACATACATACTCTCGCGGCCCACAGTGTAATCTAAGTCGTACGTACATACATACATACATACATACATACATACATACATACATACATACATACATACATACAAAACGTTTCCGTTGCCATCCATGGGGGCAGTTCACGAGCACGTATGGAGGGTCATGTTCGAGTACGCGGCGCTTCCTTTCTTGACTTTCCCCAAGTCTTAATGTGTCACTTTAATGGCATATGCTCTGTACTTACAAGGCACACGTACGTCGCGGCTCAGATTATTCAAAAATATACACGTACACACGCGCAGATGCGATGCGTACGCCACTGAGTTCGATTTGGAGGCGGAGGAGTACGTGCCGCTGCCCAAGGTGAATGTGTGTCGGAGGGAATGAGCGGGCGGTGTGGGATGTGTATGTGTTGTGGGATGTGTGTGTGGGGGAGGGGGAAGTGGGAGGAGGGGATTAAGAAATTGGATAACGGGGCCATCCGGAGGGGTTGTTTCGGAGGGGTCGGATGGGAGACGGCGTTGGGATGAGGGAAAGGAAACGAACACAACATTACCTTTGATACCAAATAAGGCGGTATCGGCAACGGCAGGACCGCTCCAACCGCCTTGACCGGTATAGTTGCCCCAACCGTTCTAACCGTCAATCTCGCCCACTTATCTGCCCCTCACAGGGCGACGTGCACAAGCGCAAGGAGATTGTACAAGATGTAACGCTTCATGACCTGGACGCGGCCAACGCCCGACCTCAGGTGTGTATGAATGTATGTATGTATGTATGTGTATTTGTGTTGGTGGCGGCTGGTGGAGAGGGGAGAGGACATGCCTGCATACGAGTGTCAAGGGAGATGGGAATGCGTGTGTATGTATGTGTGTGTGTATTCGTGTATGAAGGAAGGGTGTTCAGAGGGGCGGGAGGAGGGCGGGAGCAAACCGGGGGCTTCGTTTCTCATCGGACGGAACAAAGAAGGCATCCGTCGGAAGGCCTCTCTCTTCCCCCTCTCTCTTTCTCTCTCTCTCTTTCTCTCTCTCTCTGGCTTTAATCCCCTGCTTGTTCCTAACGCACTCACCTCTACACACACCCACACGCACACCGAGCAGGGCGGTGGTGACATCATGTCGGTGATGGGCAGCATGCTCAAACCCAAGAAGACGGAGATCACGGACAAACTGAGACAGGAAATCAACAAGGTACGTACGGCAGAGCAGATTGCAGGTGGAGTTAAGGGGGGGTAGAGAGGCTGTTGGGGGTTGGGGGTGCGGCGGGGTAGGCTGGGAGTGCTGCTGCCTGCTGCCAGGGAGGTTGGTGATCTCTGATGGTGCTGGTGCTGGTGCTGCTGCTGGCTCTACTGCTGCTGCTGGCTCTACTGCTGCTGCTGGCTCTACTGCTGCTGCTAGCTCTACTGCTGCTGCTGGCTCTACTGCTGCTGCTGGCTCTACTGCTGCTGCACCTTACCGTGGTGGTGGTGGTGACGACGGTGGTAGGGAGAAGAATGCAAGGAGGAGCGGAAGGGGGGCTCAGTATTGGCGACACGTCCAACGCAGACTGCACCAGGCACCAGTTGGTTAAGAGGGGGGTTCTGATAGGGTATGGGTAGGTAGTTAGGCAGGTAGGTAGGTAGGGTATGGGTGCAGAGGAAAGGTAGGGATAAGTCCCACGTCCGTCATCCCCTGTGTCCCCCAGCAACACACTTCACACATATATACCTGTCTTCTTATCTCCTGTCCAGATCTCTGCACACCTGCGCCCCTCTGCCAACCTCTATACCAAGTGCAATCTCGCCAATCGAAGCAACTGCCGCCAAGTACCTCCTCACACTGCCCCCCACACACACAACTAATTTCCACGGCATTACCTTACCTCTCCCCCTTTCCACTATCTCCTTCACCTCCGCCTCCACACGTGCTCCTGTTCAGGTGACGTTTGCTTTCTTTTATCACCCTGCCCCCTTCCAACCCCTCCCAACCCTTTATCACCTCTTCCCCTCCCCCATGTGGGGTCCCCCATGTCCGTGGTTCGTCTTACCCCCCTTGTCTCCCACTCGCTCGTGGTTCGTCTTTCCCCCCCCCCATGCCCCAGGTGGTGAACCGCTACATCGACCAAGGAGTGGCCGAGCTGGTCCCCGGTGTGCTGTTCGTTGACGAGGTGCACATGCTGGATATCGAGTGCTTCACCTACCTGAACAGGTAAAGGGAGGGGAGGGGAGGGGGATAGGGAGTGGACAGGCTTGGTGGGGTGAGTGGATGGGCCACCGCGTGGCCGCATACACATGTGACATCGATTACGCGCGTGGCCCCGTATGAAGTGGTGTTGTGTGTGTGTTTGGGTGTTGTGTGTGTGTGTGTCTGTGTGATTCTTTGAGGTGTCACGGGGCCATTCGGGGCAGCTCAGGTGACCGGCCAGCAGCAGCGGCAGCGGCAGCAGGTTGAAGAGAGCGCGTTTGGCTCTCTCGGTGTCGCAGCCCCGTTCTCATCCGCCGCTCTCGTCTGGTTACCCTTTTGGCGCTCTCTTCGCGTCCAAGCACGTCGAAGCCCCCCCCCGGCTGCCCAACACGTAGCCTCGCACCCAACCTTGTTCCCTAACACACGGATAACACGTAACCCCCATATCCCCCCGAAACCCCCCCGCCCCCCGGGGGCCCCACCCATGTTGTCAGAGCCCTGGAGAGCTCGTTGTCCCCGATTGTGATCTTCGCCACCAATCGAGGTCTTTGCACCATCCGCGGCACCGACATCACCTCCCCACACGGCATACCGGTGGACTTGCTTGATCGCCTGGTCATCATCCGTACACTGCCGTACACGCTAGCGGAGATGGTCCAGATCTTGGCCATTCGTGCGCAGGTATGTGCATATGTATGTAAGTATGTATGTGGATGTGTTGTATAGTGTATCTGAGTTGGTTTTTATGAGGCGGGGTTTCCGGCTATGAAGGGCACGGGGGGTTGGGGTGGGGGGTTGGCGGGGGCACATGCCCCGTCTGGGTGCGTGTGTTCACATCACCCTGCAGACCTGGTGTCATGGAGAACAACAAAGCAGCTCCCCTTTAATCCTTGTTACGTTCCTACCTCCTCCTCCTCCACCAACACCCTCTTGGTTAACACCAACATCAACACCGCCACCGTCACCAGCACCAGCACCCACATTTGCGTGTTCTCCATTCCCCACTTCTTGCAACTCCACCTCCACGTTCCCATCCACACAACCCCTTACTGGCCCCTTAATTTTCCCGCCCGCCTTTCCCATTCCGTATTCCCTGCCCGTCACATGCATACCCCTCTCCCCCCCTTCTCTCCCCCTCTCTCCCCCCCCCACACACACACGCACACATACACACCAACCCGCACCGCACCCAGGTGGAAGGTATCGGCATCGACGAGGAAAGTCTCGCCTTCCTGGGTGAGGTAGGGGAGCGCACCTCCTTGCGTCATGCCGTACAGCTGCTCACGCCCGCCTCCATGTTGGCTCGTACCAACGGCCGTGACGCCATCTCCCGCGGTGATTTGGAGGAGGTCGACGTGCTGTTCCACGACGCCAAGTACTCGGCAAGACTGCTGGCGGAACAGGCCGACAAGTACATCAGCTGAGCAGGATGAGGCGGAAATGGAGGAGGAACAGAAGAAGAGGAGGAGGAGGACTTACTGCTTGAGAGGAGCTGACAGCGGGGGTGCCTGAGACTGACTTCAGCGACGGCGGGTGTATTGGCGGGCTGCAGCCTCAGCGGCAGTAGCGGAGTCAGCAGCGTAGCTGAAATAACAGTAGCAGCATCAGCGGCAGAGGTGGACACGGACACCGCTGGTGGTGGTGGTGGTTGGTGGTTGGTGGTGGCGAGATAGAGTAAGTTTGGCAAGGTGGTGGGTGGTTGTGTGCCTGAACTAACAAAATCATATATATGTATATGTGTATTTGTACATGTGCGAGTGTGTGTGTGGTGAGGGGGGACAACGAACAGTGCCAGCCGATTATTGCCGTGAGTGTTGGGGTGGGGCGTATTGGTGCAGAGGTGCAGGAGGGCGTCATGATGCAGGCCGAGGGCTGAGGCCTGCCGTCGCGTGGACGGACGGTGTGTGGTCCTGGTGACGGCGGTCATGGTGATGCAGCATAGCGTCACGGTTGGCTGTCCTTCGTCTTCTCCAAAGGGGAACCCCCTTCTTCATCCCCTTAGCTGGCAGCTTGAATAGCTGGCACAGCAGATGATGTAGGTGGCACGTATCAGCTGTGGCTGAGGCGGACTGTCAGGGCGGCGCACGCCGCAACTCCGGCATGGTGCAAGTCGTCGCATAGGTTTGGGTCCCCCACAGCGGTTGTAATCCTGTGAGCTGAGCGTCTTGACTGTGAGCTGTCTTGGCGGGCGAGCGGGGAGAGCGGCGGGCTCCGGGTAAGGAGCAGCCGCATCCTGCCCGGTGATGCAGGGAAGGCTACAGCGCGGACTAAGGGGGCCGGGATTTCACCTTCGGGATTTTCTTCCACCGTCGAATAGAGCGCAGACAGCAGCCTGGCAGCTCCTGCAGCTCCTAACCCCCTTAGCTGAACACCATTCCATCAGCTGAAATGTCAAAGATACGGTACTGGGATGGCCCGGACCTGCCCTGCCGGCCTTAAGCTCTGAACCACCCGCGGGGGAAAACCGCTTTTTAGAAGTAGCAAAAGTGGAAGGGCGCGGTTATAGGGTAGGGGTGAAGGAAAGCCGTGAAGCCGTGATGAAAGTGGCTCCGGCCGTCTTTGTCAATCATGGATTGTGTCCAAACGCTTCCAGCTGTTTGTGGCTTTTGCTTTAGTTTGGTGGAATTTGGGATGGCCAGTGGTCAGGCGGGGCATCATGTCACCGCGACTGTGCCGATTTTTTTATCGGTCCAACAGGGATTCCATTACACGGCCCTGGGCTGCCCCAATTGCGTGGTCCCAGACCGAGGTTCCGCCCTTTTCCTTGCGTTGTGTTGTTCGGAAATAAGCTGTGTTTTGGACACATTCAAGAAGGGAAAATGAGTGGATTCTGTGCGGCCTCGCGAGCCTGGGACCAGAGGTACGCAGTAAGGGTCAATTTTTTTAACACTCTCGGGTACCCTCGGTCATCGACTGTCGCATCTCCCAGCTGCGGCTAACCCCCCTGTCTGCATTCCCGTGACCGAACCGCATTCCGCGTCCAACCCTGTTGCGTCCCTCAAGGCTGAGATGCACAATTGCATCCACAGCGCATCAGGCAGGCAACCGGTATACCTTACAAGCATGCTTCTCTGTGGAGCAGCACCAAAACATCTGAGATTGCAGCGGGCGGGTGTTTTCAGCTGCATCCAATGTTTATCGTTATACCAGTCGCATATTGGGTTCAGTACTGTTAAAGTACTAAGATTACTAACGCACAGCGCACAGGCAACAATGTGCGTTTGCAACCTTGAGGATTGAGTGCCTTGATAACCGTTCGTCTCTTCGACTCAGATCAGACCGATTACGTTCCTCCCACTACGAAGATCGCCTACAATATGTACAGCTTGGAAACAGCTGTATAACGCACCTCGAAGTGCGGGAAAGTGTGTTTCAGACTGCCCCACCTTGTTACCTATATCGGTTGTGACGACAAGAGCAGATGCAGACGACGGACTGCGATTCATGAACTAGAGGATGAAAACAGAAATAAATTCAACAAATATTACGACAACAAACCGACTTGCAAAGTAAACGATTAGGTCTTATCTTGTGTAAAGTAGTATCTATGTCCCGAGCAAGGACCCGAATAGACTGGGACCTTTTGTCGGCCATGCATGGCGTTACTTAATAATAAATTACAGCTGGATATAAATTATTACCTCGATTTCAGATTCATTTACATGATCGATAGTGTCCCGATGGTATAACGACCAGGAAACTGCCCGACAGCAATCGGAGCAGTTTATACATTCCACACAATGAGGCCGAGGTGCTTCGTACGTCTAAGACCATGCCGTAAATAGAGACACCATATCTGGTTGTTCAGATGCTCAGAACAAGTGGTGTCTCTCGGCACCATGCATATTGTGGGCATACTCACCTTTCGCTGTATACATAGAGGCGACAGCACTAGCAGCAATACGTGTTCGTGTAGCTGCGCTCTGCATGTTCGCCACTGCAGGGCTGTTAATTGGACACTAACCCGATAGCCACCCGATAGCAAAACAGTGTCATGTCATTCACCGCCAAAAACCTTGCAATGTATTCCAGCACCACCGAGCTTCGCGATTATCAAAATATTGGGGCAAGCGAAAATCATTTACCGCAACCTCGACCAAACCGGGGCGACCAGGAGCTGCTACCAGGGCCTCCACGGCCGGGGCCGTTGCTGCTGCCGGTTCAGGGGCCCTTTTTGGAGAGGCGCAGGAGGCAGCAGGGTCAACAGCTGCCACCGCTACTATCGCTGCTGCTGCATTTACGCCAAAGGTGATGGAAACGGTTGCAGCAGACGCGAGAGATGCGGCGGTGGCAGCAGCGGCAGCAGCGACGGCTGCGGTGACACCGGTGGCAGCGGCAGCGACGGCAGCGGCAAGGCGGTTTAGACGCCTCAGGCGACGGCCTTCCGCTCGCAGGCGACGGCCCTGGTGATCCTCACAACCCGGGGGATGTGTCCACCACTTGCAGAATCTGTCTCGAGAATCAACCGCTGGAAGTCTTTCACACAATTGGTGAGGTCGCCGTATCGCCAACTAAGCTTTTTTAGGGGCTTAGTTACTCCTGGTATCGCACTTACCTCTGGTGTTGGCGTAATTACAACAACTCGGATCTTCGAGCTTTGTTTATATAGCCCCCCTGGAAAACGTGTGGAATAGTAGGATGGTATTGCTAAACTTATACCTTCGGATTCCCTCTACTTTGGTTTTCGTAAGGGACTCTGACTGATGACAAGGGGAGCCAGAATGACCTGTACTTGGTAGCTCTTCTTCTTCTTCTTCTTCTTCTTCTACTTCTTCTGAGGGTATAAGCTGACCAACCAATATTTTCAGGGTCGGGTTACGTGCGTGAAGTGCGTCCCTGAGCCGCCGCATGCCATCAGTGTTTACCCCGGTCCCTGCTTCCTATTGAATATGGACCATCCTGCTGATCTCGATGGCATTTACCACCACCACCTGCCCGGAGGCCCTCCGCCGGCTGGCGTCAGGGGAGTTCGTCAGGTGCCGCAGTGGCTGCAGCAGCAGTACATGCTTGGGCCGCAGCTGCTGCTGCTGCTGCTGCTGCCACTAATGCAAATGCAGTTCCATCCACCTCCAGAAGCGCTACTTCAGCAAGAGCAGCAATATCAGCAGGAGGTCGACGGCGAGGAGGAGGAGGAGGAGGAGGAGGAGCAGTACATGCATGCATACCCGTACCTGTACCCACACCAGGATCAACAGTACCTGTACGCGGATTCACGCCAGCAGGAGCCGCACATGGAGTATCTGTACCAGGAATATCTGTATCAGAACCGGCTGTACGATGATGCTGATCAACAGTTTTGGTTTCAGCCACAATCAGTAGCGGCTGCAGTGCCAGCAGCAGCAGCAGTTGGTGCTCAAGCCTTCATTGCAGGAGACCCCGCCCCGGCAGCCGGTGCCGCTACCTTGCCCATGGTGCGGGCGGCTCCCGTGCCCGTAACCGGCCGTAACCGGCAGGCCCCGGGGGGACTCCTCGGCGCTACCAGAGGACGGGCTACACAGGCGCCACACCACCACCCGTCAGCCCATGTACGGCAGCCGCAGCTGTAGCTGTAGCAGCCATGTGCCAGGTGACTGGCACCAGCACTGGCACCGGGGGTGGTGGCAGCAGAGTCGGTGGCAGCGGTGGTGAAAGGCGGGTACCACAGCCCTCAGCGCCCTGGGACATGGACGCAGGGCATGAGGAGATGCAGCAGGGGCGCCACGGTCCTGTTCGGTATGACCGGTTGCATCTGCCCTTGCCAAACACGTTCGGGCATCAGGCTGCTGATGGAAGGGCGGTCCTGCTGGATCGTGGTCAGCAAACGATGATGATGATGATGATGAGGAGGAGGGAACAGCACCCGGATGGCTTTCGCCAACCGGCACCACAGCCGCAGCTGCGAGTGCAGGAACTGGTGGTGCCGGTTATTGGCCGCAAATGCAGCTGCCGCCTCAACCATCGCCGCAGATGCGGCTGCAGCCATGCCATGGGCCATTTCTATGAGCAAAAGTCATGTGCAGGTTTGGGCCGCTAACACTGCGCGTGATGTCGCACCCGACGCAGCTGGGAAGGCCGCCCTACGTACTGTGCTGGTGTGTCCGATGATATTGTTACCGCTTGTGATCATCAATGGTTACAGTGACGGACTTTTTGGCTGCCGACATCTCCCTTTGTTGCCGCCCTGGGTGCTACCCTGCCATTCTGAGAGGTAAAGAAGGTGCTGTGTGGTGCCCGCAGTGACCACCTTTGGTGCCACTGAATGTCTTCACGTCGAGAGCATTAGGTTTATAACACAGAGGCCTTAAGTTGAGCGGCGAATTATAGAGAGGGACTGCAGTGACCGGTGCGGGTGTTCGTTAGCGGCGACTACCTTACGTCACAAACTAGGTGATTAAGATGACAGCAGCGCTAGCGGTGACATCATTACAGTGGTTGCATGGTTGATGCAGTAGCAGCGATAGCGATATTCACGGATGGAAGCAGTGGTAATGGTGTTAAGGTGGTGGTGGTGTTGGTTGCGGCGGCGGCGGCGGCAGCGGCAACGACTTTGGCAGCAGTAGTGGCGTCGGTAGTGGCTGCAAGGGTGGTGATGGCGGTACCACTGCGTAAGGTGCCCTGATCCTTAGTTAGCCTATGCCTGGCCTCTCCTGGCTGTGAGCAAGTTGCTCGCCCGTTCTCATATCTCGATGACCGTCTGATCTCTGCTGCGGGCGGGGCTGCCCGCCATACCGCCATACCGCCATACCGCCATACTCGTCATGAAGGCGGGAAGCGTGGGTCCGTCATGTCCTCATGTCCTCATGTTCTCATGGCGCCTTGCAACGCGCATCTTCTGCCGCTGGCGGCGGAGCTCTGCATTGCGCAGGGCTGCGCAGTTTATGGCATGTTACATTACAAAAGCTTACATGGCATGTCCTCTGCCGTTGCTCTGAGATTTGTCTATCCATCCATCCATCCATGTGGCCCATTTAGTCGTGTTGTACAACATGTGACATTGTGAGTTACGACCGGTTGCATCTTGTTACACGGGTAGTCTCACTTATTGCTAGGAGGCGGACGATGGCGAAGGAAGGAAGGAACTTAGGAAGGGCGAAGAAAGGGAAGGATTTTACAGAGGGAGGAGGGTGTGCTCGCGGGTTGGTGAGATGGCGGCTGGCGTCGGTCATTGAGGGAGTCAATGTTTTGTTTTTGTCGAAGGGCGGGTAGTACGTTTATTGTTGCTGGTGGCTTATGTGGCATTCTTGGTGATCCGATCTAAGCTTCTTAGACTAAAAAGATGTGCGGTAGACCAGGCGTCCAAGGCCGGGGCTGAGGACCTTGCAAGTGTAACCTTGCATCATGGATAATTGTGGAACGTTTGCATCGTGGTCGTATGTTACCAATACCATATTATTATTAAAGGGGTTCGGCAAGTCGAGACACTGCTTCAAAGATGCAGAAACGCATGTTTCGTGCTCCGGCAAAATGACATGCTCTAGCAAAATGATATGTGCTCCGATTCGCGGCGAAACATGCAGGATAGCTCTCTCTCGAAATCATAGTGCGGTTTCTACCTTTAATAGGATAAGGGAGCTAGGCAATTTCCTAATGCATACGAATCGCGAAGGAGGCATGTATTTGTCGGTGAGTAACTTCACATTTTACAATCATTGCTCCATACTTCCTCTGCTTTTTTCCAGATGAACTGCAATAACTAAAGAAATTTTAACACTGAATAAAGTGCAGGATAATTTGCATTTGGAATGAACTGTTGTGCTATCGTCGCCAAAACTTTATCCCTCTGACTTCATTCCTAGGTGTAGTTGGGTTACACAGGATGCGGGGACATCACAGCATGCCTTATCGAGTGCTGCAGGCTGTCGGCCTGGCAGCACTCACGACCTGTCTGGTCGCCATTTATTTCCGTCAGCAGAAGCTTTCAGCTATCCACATACACCTAAACACACATGAAATGGAGCATCGTGATGTCATTCCTGGCGATAAACAAAAGACGACGGTCAAAGCGCTGCCCGCTTTGGCGGAGCCCTGGGGATCACACCACATGTTCCTCCGGCAGGCACCCTACGACCCCTGCCCAAAGCAGTTCATAGAGGGCACCTGGACATCTAAAAGGTCGATGGGTAATGCCACTTTGCCACTGACTCTAGAGGCACAACGCGAGATTCACGAGCATCAGCACCCCCCCGATTGCTCCAAAGCGAAGTACCTTGTCTACGCAGTACATCCCAACGGAATCGGCGCTGTCTTTCACGGTGCGCATACGTGTACTACAGCTATGGCTCTGAGGGGTCGCTACTGCCGTGCTCTGCGCGGATTATGCAAAACCCAAACCCGCACACGTACACACAACCCCCTGACTCCATCCCGCGACTTAGCGCCCGGGATGTTTGTGGAGGTGATGCGTTGGGGTGTTATGCAGCTGTCCGCTGCAACACACACATACACGCGCGCGCGCTGTGTTCGTGACCTCACAGTAGCTTCCGTAATACATTGGGCCATCGACCTTGGCTCTACACACTGTCCAAACATTGCCCCGCAGATAACACCCTTTTTCCCGCTCACACTTCCCCCCACCATCACCCCCACCTCCACCCCAGCACCCCACGAAAACACAAAACACACACACACATGCGTACCTCTCGGCAGTTCAAAGCACACCAATCATATCTTTGACGGCCGCCTAACAGGCTGACCCACCCTCCTCTCCTCTCTCCCTGCCTCCCTGCACGGTAACCCAGCGCCAAACACACTTTGCCTTTCCCCCTTCCCTCCGCCCTCTTCCTCCGACCCTCCTCCCCAACCTCCGCGCCAGGACCGCAGTCACCGGTGTCGCGCTGCACCTGGCGCTCGATCTTGGTCGCGTGTTCGTAGAACAATCGGGAACCTTCCTCACCGGCCACCCCAAATGCAATGGAAAGGATACCCTGGACTCGTGCTACTTCCTGCCCTTCTCCGGATGCCGCCCCACGGAGGAACAAATGAAGTCCGCTGTCACGATAAGCTTCGAAGACGAAAACCTGTTAGTACAGCCGGGCGCCGACCCGACGACCCTCCACGCCAATGCTGCTGTTGTGATTGCCACCCACGGGGCCCTGGTCAAAATCCGGGCGGCGGCGCCTCGCCGCTTCCAGGCACGTCTAAGCGCCACGGCTATGGACCCCAAGAAGCACTACTACTGGTGGCGGGCGCAGTCTGTGGCGTACATGTTGAGACCCAGGCCGGAGGTCCTGGCGGACCTGGAAGAAAGGCGGAGGTGAGAGAGAGAGAGAGAGAGAGAAAGAGAGGGTGGTATACGTAGGTGCGGGTTGGGGTGGGCGGGTTTCGGGGTTTCAAGGGGGGGGATCACCCCTACCCAACCCCTACCCTATCCAACCCAACCCACCGCACCGCCCCTGTGAGTTGTTGAACGGGGCCACGACAGCTCCCTGAACCCCTTCGATCTACCCCTTCATGTATTTCACCTCTTGGATTTCATCTCTTTGATGGTTTTCTTCCGAACCCTAAATACCCCTCCGTCCCTTCTGTTTACTTCCCTGTGGAGGGGAGCAGAATAGAATAAAGGTATGTTACCTTCTAACCCCGGTCCCTGCCCCGTGATTGCTTGGCCTGGCCCCCCTCCGCCTCTGACGACCTGCCCCCCGGCCTGAGCATCTCCCGCAGTCGCTTACTGGCGGGTCCCACGCCCCTCCCCGGCTGCATAAGCGTTCATGTACGGCACGGGGACAAGGGCGTGGAGGCAGAGGTGTTTGAAGATAAGGTAATGTGGTGGTGGAGGGCGGTGGGGGGAAGGGGGGAAAAGGGGGGAAGGGGCAGGGGGCGGGGGCGGGCAGAGGGCTCACTACTTATAACCAGCCAGGCAGAACAGGCAGATAAGCATGCAGACGCATGCAGAAAATCTAGCAATCTCGCAATTCAGCGGAACCATTGGGGTCTGAAAGTAGATCCTTGTGCCTTTCTTACGGTACACGTGTTCGTGGTACGGCAGATGTACGACGAGATTGCGGCCAAGCTTCGCGCGCTGGCCCCGTCCTACTTCACCGACCAGCTGTTTGTGAGTACTGAGGACCCCGAGACCATTAACTACTTTGTGAACCAGACCAACGGCAAGTGGCACACCGGCTACACGGCGGGAGTGCCGAGGAAGCCCGACAGGTGTGAAAGAGAGTGTCTGTGTGTTTATGTGCGTGTCGGGGAACAATCGTACCCACGAAACAAAGAATGAATGGGCGACGCCCCAAACTGCAAAGTCCTCAAGGGCGCATGGGAGGTTTACCTAAGGTTTCCCTAAGGGTCCCTAGGACGCGAGACAGTAGACGTGGACATTGGTGGCGGGGAAAAAAGGGGTTCAATGTGGGTGGAGGTGGAGGGAACGTTCGGTATCCTTGCTACTACCCCTTCGATCTTTATGGAGCTCCCGTGCCTCTTCTCTCCACCTTTCCGTGAAATGCCCATGCTACCGCCTCCTCCGCCCCCTCAAACCCTCGGGCGGCTGGTCCCTCTTGTTCCGGGTCCCGTCCCGAAGGCACCGCCCGAACCTGGCCTACATGGCTGAAATTGGCTACTACGAGGAGATGCTGAACTCGTTGCTTAATTTGGACTTGGCACTGGAGTGCTCGGGCTTCGTGGGCTCCATCTTCTCCAACTGGGTTCGGTGAGGGCCTCGGGAGGCGGGGGCTGCTGTGTGTGGGGGGGGGGGTAGGGGGAAAGACGAACCACGAGCGAGTGAAGCTGCTGGGAGGGAGAGGGGGGGATATACGAGGGGATATACGAGGGGATATACGAGGGGATATACGAGGGGATATACGAGGGGATATACGAGGGGATATACGACGGGATATAGGAGGGGATATACGAGGGGATATAGGAGGCAAGAAACATGGGAGAAGGACTGCTGATTTCGACGTCCAAACCTGTACACTGCTGAAGTCCAAAGCAATGACGCGACTCCGTGGAGTTTGTACCAAGGGGGGAAGGGAGGGATGGAGTTGGCGCTGGCGGTCGTAGGGAAGGGGGTTAGAGGGCGGGTTGTTGTGGAGAGAGGGAGGTCGGGCGGTTTGGGGCAGATGGCGGGGGTCTCGTAGCCAGGAGCTTGTCGTGGACAGGGGTGCGGCATGGTCACGTGTGGCTCTGGTATGGACCGATGGAGCAGCGGGGATATATGTGTGTGTGTGTGTGTGGTGAGTGGAAATTTGCCTGCATGCCTGATGTGTCTGTTTGTGTCGTGTCTGTCTTGGCTCTGCATTTGGACGCGGAACAGCGGTGTGCCGATACACCGGACTCCCTCCCCCCGCCTTCGCCGCCTTCCTCCCCTTCCACCTGTTCCTTCCCTGGATTCGTATGTTTGCTGGGCCCCTCCACACACCACCTCCTCCTCCTCACCCCCGTCCCCTCCAGCTGAGAGCCCTCCATGCCCGCCGTACCGCATTCTTGTTTCCTTCCTTCCGACCCCCGATCCCCTGAGTCTGATCCACCTCCCCCGGACGCCCCTGACCCTCTGTAGGCTCATAGACGAGCTCCGGGCCACCATGCGCTGCAAGGCCAATGCAGTCTTTGCGGACGTGCACTACCAGAACCCACACGAGATGGATGTCAACTGGTAGGAAAACCCCAAGTAGAGACCAACCCTGAAAGAATGGGAGAGAGGAGGAGAGTTTGGGTGACTCTTCAGCCCCTCTCCTCACATTTCTTGGTCACCAGCGGTGCTGGTGGAGCTTGCGGTTACTACAGCGTGGGGCGATCAAGGAGGCTCCCGCAAACTGGCGGCTTGTTGCAGTCTGCTAGCTAGCCCCTACCAACTCCCAATCTAGTGGCAAGTCTTAGCTCGGCGGTATTTTCTCCCTAGAAGCCTTTCGACCCTGCTTGGTAAGGCCTTCACAGGGAAAGACTAAGGGGTGGTATGGGGGGCTTGTTTGCGACTTAAAACATTGCTGGGCATTTGGGCCGCCTTGATTTGGGTGAGGAGGGAGGGAGGTGGGAGGTGCCCCAGCGGGTGCAGGGGGTGACTAGGGATAATGCGTGTGGGTGTCGTAAACGTGCATGCCAGTGAACGAACTAGCAAGGGCTAGGGTCCCGAGAGCAGGAGGAGCGGGAAGTGTGGCGGCCATCTCAGGAGTTTGGTGTGTGGGGTTCTATGGCGGTTGTCAGGATGTTACACCGATCGTTTCCATAGATCTATGGGGATGGCACCCGCCTGGATGGGGGGCAGCAGGCTTTGGCCTGTGGAAGGGGCCGGCCCCTAGGAAAGAAGCTACTAGAAGGGTAGAGGCAGTCCGTGTGTTTTGGGTGTGTGTGGATTAAGGGGTCCTTTTTGCCCTCGCGCGTGCGAATCCAGCGGCTCTCGAGACTGGCGAGGCTAGCTTGATTTTGGTTTTGTCCTTGCGATCTCCGGTACATGCGTATAGGCGTGACCGAATATTCCAGAGCAATAACCGCTGAACCGCACAGCTGTGACGACAGCAGCAGCAGCGGTGGGCGATAGCTGTATAGTAGCAGTGTCCAGCGTGGCGAGCGGGAAGCGAGCTTCAGGCAAGCGGATAGCTGCGGGAAGAGTACCCAGATGAGTTAAAGATTTCAGTTATAGGTTCAATAGCAGTTTTTCGGACCTCTTGATAGTCCTGGACTTTAGCGTCAGTCAGCATTTCATGGCAAGCGTTGGATGGCGAGAACTGTAAAGTACAATGTCCGGGCGCGTAATTGAGGACCTTGGTTAAATGCATGATGCCTGTGTGCTCTACAGGAAATAATCGACGATGCATCTGACTTCCAGATGCGTTCGGTCCATCCACGGTGCTCATATGGCGTGCCTTTCTAGCGCAGCGTGACGGCGCCTATATCTTCTCAGCACGGCGACCTAGCGTATGAGGGGATATCCGGGAAGCGCATCGGAAAGGGCAACTGTGAGCAGCATACTGATCTTTACAGCATCCAAGACGAAGAGGTCGTCGCCCAACAGTTGAGCTGAAGGCCGGCTGGCTTCTTCAAGGAGTGCCATCACCCCGTACATTCAAGCAGCTAAAGCCATTCACCACCCATGCATACGTGACAGCTTGGGCCAAGAACCAAGATCGAGAGATAAGGACGGAACCCAATGAGACTGGACTGACAATGATGCCACGAGCTCTAGATGGCTTTCAATAGCTGTATAGCCGTACACCAACCTCACCTGGTCCGTAGGCTACGTAGCAAACATTGTCACCGCCGATCAGCAAGAAATTTGGTTCGCGTGTAATCTACCACGTGGCACAAGGACCACAAGCAAGTCTTGTGAAGTACTATAAGGTATTAGGAGAGTCTGTTCTGTGCGATCCAATACGAATACGGATTCAAGGGACCTGTACGGTGTCAGCGGTTGGGGTTGTTCCGGTCCTCCGTTAGCGGGCGACAGAGCGGGCACCGGGCAGTGGGGACAGGGCATTCTGCACCCTTTTCCGCGTTCCCGATTATTAGTTTTGTTCTGTGTTTGCCACCTGATTGGATGGCTGGCTAGGAATTTTGAAAACCGTTGCTTAGCCAAATTTCCCCACCTGTCCGTGTTAGTTTGGTTCCTATCACATTGTTTCCTTATGAAAAACGTAAATTTGTAGATCAGATCTCACGTTTTAAGAGTCGCTGATATCCATAACAGACCCTAGGCTAAGCGCGGGGAGACTTCCAGGAATAGAACTCCAAGCAGGATTAACCATGGGCTATGGGGGATTTATTTTCACAGCGCTGTTGTCGCTTGTTATTTTGGTGGCAACGTCCATCTTTCTGCTTCGTGACAGGTGAATTCTCCTGATTAGAGTAAATTATCCAGGCTATTTAGGTGCCTTATTGAATTTGTAATTTTACAGCAGAAAACCTGTCCAAAGCCTTGTGTCTTATGAGACGTGTGAAGCTTACGGAAGCGGGCAACATCTGGAACCTTTCTGCGTGCTTTCACGGGACAGGCATAGAGTACATGAGGAAAACAACACAATTTGTACAGGCCTTCCCCGTCAGGGTGGCAAGGCTTCCCGGTGCCACTGGCTCTCTTTCCTCTTTAGTGTCAGCGACCCTTGGACTCACACACCCTTTCACGTACCAGCACAACGCATCTTGCATGTCCCCTTTCGCTCTACATCTTGTAATGCTTCCCCTCACTATGCCATCCCGGGTACACTTCTAGGACACCGTGCTGGGCCGGCCGGTCTTGAGCCTGGAGGAAACGTTCCTCACCTGCGCGGCTGCTCACCGGCTGTTCCCTTAACAGACTGCCGTTCCAATCTGTCAGATTGCAATTACAGCACCCCACCTGGACGCACCCCTCTGCTCCGCTGCGCCCTCCTTCCAACCCTCCACAGACTGCTGCGCTGGGCAGCCCACAGCGCCGGCCTGTCCGAGTACGGCGCAGACCAGCTGACGTGGCGTGGCTGCAAGCGGCTGCGACTCGTCTTACGAAAGGTACAACATTTCACGGCTTTGCGCCGGAGCCATATTCCCTTGGGCATACCTAAGTCCTCCCCTTCTCTCTATCTCCTCCGGCATTCCGCTGCCATCCATCATATTGCACTTCCCCCTCCCCCCTCCCCCGCGCGCGCACATATATGTACACATACGCGCACCCTTGAACCTGAACTTGACGTATTTCTACGGCGCACACCTCTATTACCTCCCCTGCATCACACACACACACACACACACACACACACACCTTTTAACTGTGCCAACACCGGACGTTGCCTGGCCCCGTGTTGGCCAACCACCGGGGCAACATCCCTCCTCCGGTCTTTTGCGTCGGGGTCTTTCGCACCTGGGTCCAGTCTTTTGGACTTACCTGAACCCGTCCCCTGCCCACCCAGCCCGCACCCATTTCGTGCTAACATTCCCATGCCCTCTGCTTCCCAACCAGCCCGTTTTTCTTCTCTCTTACATATTTGCCGCCCAGACCCATGCACGCGCTGCACGTCCCACTTGCCCTCCCCCGCAATGTTCGTCCGAGCCCGCCAGGGCCCCGTGAAATGCATCCAGCTGGAGTCCGGCGAGCTGCATTTGCCGGCTGCGGGCAGCAGCACCGCCCGCGCGCTCTGGCTGGTGCTGCGGCTGGTGCTGGCGGCGGCTGTAGGCGGCGACTGGGCGAAACCTGGGCGGCGTCCCCTGGTGCTGCTGCGGCTACAGGTCCGGGCCCGTGCGCCTCTGTCTGTCTATCTGTCTGTCTGTCTGTGCAGCGGAGGCTGAAGGAGGGATTGAGAATTGCACTTCGCGCATGTGTGCGGTTAAACCTCTCTCCGAGCCCTACATCCATATGTATGTGCGTTTGCATGTATGTATGTGTGTGCGCTTTTGGCAGTGGGAGCAACGGGAGCAGTGGGAGTCGCGACATGGAATTTGGGCAGTGGGGGCATCCGTGCAGCCGTTGGTTTACCTCGCTGTTGAGGTCCGTGATAATGTCATTCTGGTCCACCTTTCGACTGTGTCCGAGTTGCTGGGGCCTGGGGGTCCCTTGCACGCCTCCGTAGGGTCTCGAAGTGCAGCTCCGAGCCGGGAAGTCGCCGCTCAGAAGTACCGACGGGGGCCGTGATGGTGCTGGCGGCTATGGGAGAGGGAGCGGCGGCGGCGGCGGCGGCAGTAGCACTGTGGGTATTGCGGCTGCGTTGAGACGGCCTTCATCAGATAGCGGCAGCAGCAGCAGCCACGGGCGGAGTCCCCGGATCTCTAGCAGCAGCGGCGTTGACGGTAGCGGCGATGGTACGGCAGGTCGGCGCCACGGCCGCGGCCGTGGCGGCGGCAAAGGCCGTGGCAGTGGTGCCGTGGCGCTGCCTGCGCCGCTGCTGCGGGTGCTGCCGCTGCTACGATTGGAGCTGAATGGAGGGAGCGTCCGTGCCGAGGTGGGCCCGAACGACCCACGGGTCATGACTCGCGTGGTGGGTGGTAATGGGCATTAATAAGTTCGACTGGCCGCGCATTGGCAATGTGCTCCGAGGGGCGAGGGGGGAGGGGGGAAATGCGTAAATTGCGCAAAATATTGCTGCGCCTCTGCCCGACCGTGTGTTGTGTTTTCTAAAGCAGGGCGCCAAATCCTATGCGGGATGTGTTACCCTCCTCAGCCCTCCTCCCTCCCCGGCGTCCATGTGTCGCCATTCGCCCTCGCGCATGCGGTGTTTTTATTTCTTACGGTGGTCATCATATCATGCGGAATACTGGGACGGTCCTCCTTGTGCAGGATTTTAATACTGCGTTGGTTATGGGTTGTTGCGATGGTGATGCTTTTGTCAAGACGTGACCACATTGTTAATTTCATCTGCTATAGCGTTGGAGTGCTGTGCTGCTGCGTCAGTGTGGCCCTGCGGGCGCCACCGTGGGGGCCGTTAGGTGTGCATTACGTTGCCGCCGACTGGGCTCTCAGCGTCCTCAGAAAGCAATCCTCTCAGAAAGATAACACCGGAAGGTGTATCGCCGATGGTGATTTGAAAACGTTACTCACCGGATTTGAACCCCTGCTAACTCCTGGAGCGTTGATCAACCCATGCGTTCCCGGAACGTTAATGGGGGATTCCTGGGACGCTGGCGGTTGTCTCCTTGTTGACTTAGGGTTTTATGACGCCGCCCTGCCGTTGCTGATCCGTACGCCACTGCCGCGCACTGCCTCGGGTCGACCATGCGCTCCCTGCAGGCCGCCGCCGCCGCCGCCGCCGCCGCAGCTGACGCCGGGATCGGGATCGCGGCGGGCGGCGATGCCGGCACTAGGGCCGTACCGGTGTGGGAGGCCCGCATCGCGTCTCTTGCAGTGGCGGCGTTTCATCGGCGTGGAAGTTATGTCAGCGGCGGCAGCGGCGGAGAGGATGATGACGGACAGATGGGCGGCGGTGATGACGGAGGGAAGGTGGGGCCGGCGGTGGCGGCGGCGGCGGCGGCAGCGCCAGCTCCGTCGCGTCGCGACGGCGTTGAAAAGTTGGAATCCTCCAGCCAGGTGCCGTACATGCGGCAGAGTGGCACCGTCACCGTCAGCGGCGGTCCTGGCGGGTCAGGAGTACCGCAGCCGCAGCCGAGGACGGCGGGCGCCACCCCTGTCCCCGTCACGGGTGTTGCGAATGGATCCGGCTTATCGAGGGGGATCACCCCGGGGACGGCTCAGCCCCAGCCGGCCATTCCTGTCCAGCGGGTGATCCCCGCGACCACCGTATCAGTGAACCTCACTGGGGTGGAGTTCGTCGTGAGGCGGCCGGAAGCGCCGGCGGCTGTAGCCGCCACTGCGACTGAGATTACCGCCGACGCCGCGGCGGCGGCGGCGGCAGCTGTCCAAGCCGCGGGCGCGTCGTCGCCTGCGCCTGCGGTGGGGGCAACGGCTGTGACGGCAGCTTCTGCGGCGCTGGTGTCGGGACGTTGCGGCGGAGTTGGGGTCACTGCCACATTCGGTGGGCGAGGGGGAAGGTGAGTTGCGGCGACGTGCAACCTCGTGTGTGCGTGTACCGACCCGCCTGCGAGCCCCCGGGCGGCTGCCAGCGCCCGGCGACACCGTACATGTATTGTGTAATGTTGAGGCCTCGCTAGGCGGCCTGACGGGTCCGAGTTGTAGCAGGATAGTGGTAGTGGTAGTGACGGAGAGGACAGACAATCCATGTGGCTGTGTGTGTGGCTGTGTGTGTGTTTATGTTTGCTGTCGTTGTTGTTGCTGATGCCGGGGCCCATCTCGGCCCTCGGCCCCCGGGACACTCCATTTCTGAGTTTCTTGCATTTGAATTTCCCCCCATGTCCCTTCCCTGCTTTTTGACCCCATGCCCCCACGCCCCACCCCTCTTGCATGTGATTTCTCCCCTTCTCCCCACCCCCCCCGAGCAGTGGTTCGTCGTACGCACCCGGTGACAGGACGGACCCCAGGCCCGGGAGGCTGCGGGAGGTGGTGGCGGACGTCAAGGAGATCCACGTGGACGGCCGTACGGTCGCTCCTGCCGGCGGGCATGGCACCAGCGACGAAGGCCCTGAAGTCACCGCCGCCGCCGCCGCCGCGGCGGCGGTGGCGAATAGCCCGCTGGCGACCGCTTTGGTGGCGTTGCTAACCTCCTCCATTGCCACCGACAGATCATTTTTGAAGACGAGAAGGGAAAAGGAGGGAGGAAGCAAAACAGCTGTGGGGGAGAAGCCGGGGGCGCCAGGCGGTCATTCGTTGGATTCGCGTTTGGATCTCGATCTGGATCTAGCGGATCGCGTGGCGGCGTGGATTCGAGGGACACACTGTGTTCTTCCAGATCAGGTGTGATGCGGTGCTGCTGCTTGGAAGTTGGTACGGCGACTGAACTACGGTGCTGACGAAGCTGTTTGCGATGTTGAGTGTTCGATGTCTTTAAGTTATTAAACTTCAAAATGTAGCAAAAGGGGGGGTTGGGGCCCCCGCGCGGTGGTAGCAGTGGCGCGGTGGTGGTGGTGGTGAGGCGGCGGTTTAGCGTTTTTCTCTCGCCAATGCGCCACCGGCTTAGCTTGACACATGTTGACGCATGCTGGCCTTGCGATACACACTGGCACCACTTTATGAATGTGCAATACCTGGTAAGTCCATCGCTTGGTAAGTCCATCGTTTCGTGTCAATCGCCTGGGGTCAATCCTGTCCGTTAATTGCGGTGTTGTCTTCATGCCTTTCACGCCGTTGCGCTCCTCAGGCTTTGCTGTGCCACTTTGCTGTAGGCGGAAAACAAGCATCTACTGCTCGATATTTCCTGGGTTATGGTGATGCTTGGTTTATCCTCCTCCTGCTGCTCTTGCGGCTGCTCTTGCTGCTGCTGCTGCTCCTGCCCGCCACTCGTATTCAGGTGTCTTTACGCTTCGCCGGTTTACGCGCTGCCGCCACTGTTACTGCCGCCACCATCGCCGCGGCGGAGGCGGAGGCGGAGGCCCAACCCGTGGCGCGTGTCAATTGCGGCCGCCGGGGGGGAAACTCGGCGTCAGCTTTAGTCACCGCCGCCGCCGCCGCCACCGCCGCCGCCACAACGACTGCGGCGACCCTGCAGCTGGCTTTAGGTGCAAGTCGTGTCGACATCACGACAGTCACAGGCGGTGGCGGCCAAGGCGTCGGCGACGCCGGCGGCGGCACGGGCGAGCAGCCCTGCCGTGCCAACGCCACAACCTTATTGGACGTTTCCGTACAGCTGGGACCCGTCGCGGCGCTGGCGTCCGCCGGCGGCCCCGCAACATCGGCGGCGGCGGCGCCGCTGTACTTCGGCATGCAGCATTTCAGCATAAGGGGGCGTACGGTCGTAGCGCCGCCGCCGCCGCCGCCGCAGCAGCAGCAGCCAGGGCACGGTGGCAACGGCAGTCGTGAAGTACCAAGGAGGTCGTACTACAGCATAATGATTGACGTGGATTTGCCGGCCACTGTACTGCAGATACGGCCGCAAATGCTGCTGCCGAGCATGAATGCGTGTATTGCCGGCGACGGCGGAGAGGTTTCGCGGTCAGGTCACTCCCTGGGGCATTCACCGCTACAACCGCCGCAGCCCAGCTGCTACAGCCTGCTGCTACGCGGCATAACCACGAAAGCGATCTGCGGCTTTTCGGCTATGGAAGCGGATGTGCCGTCCGTACCTCCTGCAGTGTACGACAGCACTGGCTGTGGCGGCGGCCTGCAAGACGTGTCATTCAAGTCCAGCTTAGCCATGTTGACAGCGCCGCTGGGGCTTCGGCGCCAGATGCAGATAAAGGGAGGGCGGTCAGCGGATCCCGGGGGGATGCAAGCGCTGGCGGCAGCGGCTGTCGCCGCTGCCGTCAGCGGCGCTGAAACACCGGTTTCGGCTGGCAGCTCGGAAGGCGGCGATGGCAGCGTGGCGGCGGTGCGGCCGCCGTCGGCGCCGCTGCCGGCGGTGCCCGAGGCGCCCGAGTCAAGCGGTCTTCCGTCGGGCCCGGTGCATGAGCGGAGCCTCGCCGCGGCGGCGCTTCCCGAGGTTGCGGGTTCCGGCTCGGGGGCGTTCGCTGACCTTGCGCCGTTACCTGAGGGTTCTGCTGCGGCGGCGCCGAATGTAACGGCGTGGGAGCCGCCACCAGCTGCGTCTGCTGTCAACGCGGACAAGACGCAGGACGTCGCCTGCGCTGAGACCGCGCCGCCGCCGCCGTCACCGCCGCCGCCGGCTGCTGCCTCTGGGGCGGTACCGCCAGCGGCGGCAGCGGTGGATGCCGGAAATTACGGCCTCGGAGTAGGGCCAACAACCGGAAGATCATCGGCATCAACGGTGGCGGCGATCAGCAGCGCCGGGAAGTCGGCTGGCGCCGACGTGACGGCCTCGCTGTTGCTGGTGCTCCAGGGGCTGGAGCTGTACGGCAGTGGGAGCTGCAGTACTTCCACGGCAACGACGTCGGACTCGGGCTTGGGCTCGGGCGAGGCCATGCCAACCGTCGTGGCGGCTACCGTTGCCACCGCTCCTGCCTTTGGTGCGGCTGGAGTCGCGGCACAAGTGCCCGGTGGGCGGTACGACATCGTACTTTTGCAGCGCACAACGCTTAATGTGGGCGGGTCCGCCGCCCCGGCCGTCGCTCAGAGGCAATCCAACGCCGCAAACCCGAGCGCTTCGCCCACGGTTACCCAAGCTGTTGCCGTTACAGACGTGGCTGTTGCCTTGGGCCGCCTTGATGTCGTACTTGACCCTTGGCAGTTGACACCGTTGGTGAGGCTGTCAGCTCACGCGAAGGCGGCGGCTGCGGTGGCCTCCCGGGCAGCAGCCGCGGCAAAGGCGGCGGCTACAGCCGCCGCCGCCGCCGCCGCTTCGGCGGCGGCGCAGGCCAGGGCGGCTGCCGCCGGCGCAGCAGGCGAAAGCTCCAGCGGCGGCGCTCTGCTACAGGAGCCTATGCTGTCAGCGGCGGCGTTCACCTTTCCCGCTGATGTCCTGTCACCGGAGCTGTTGCCTGGGCTTTCGATGGCAGGTGATGCTGCTGCCCCGGCTGTCAGCGGCGACGGAGGCGGCGGAGGATGTGCTGTTGACGACGGGCGCCGCCGTCGCCGTGAAGGGAAAAGACCGAGGCTGCCCGCGTGGGTGAGGGTCCGCAGCGTCACGATAGACTCCTCGACTGGCATCCGTCTGTCACTTCATGCCGAAGTGCCCCTGGACGCTTCCTTCCGTAACGGGGTGACTGAGACGTCGGCATCGGCCGCCGCCGGCGCAGCCGTCGTACCCACGACGCTGGAGACGACCGTTGAGTCGGTGAATGTGGCTGCATGGCCTAACGGCGGCGGCGGCGGCTCCGCCGCCGCCGCTGCTACAGCCAATGCCGCTGCCGACTCGTTAGTGGTTGAGACCTCCATCGTTGGGTTGTCCATGGCAGCTGTGCGGGCGGCGCCGGTGCCGGCGCCTACTGATCTGAAAGCCGACCGGCATCAGGTTCTCCGAGTCAACAGGGCTAAGCTCCTCGCCATGATGCCGGTGGCGGCGGCGGCCAGTGGAGCAGCTAACCTGTCCACCATGGCAGCTACTGCCGCCGCCGGGGCGCCTGTGCTACTGCCTGCTTCGCGCTCTCGTGACGACGGTGGTGGTAATGGAAATGGTAATGGTGGTGATGGAGCCCCATCCTTCCCTGGGGTAGGAGCCGCCACTGAGTCCGCATTCGCTGGCACCGCCGGCGGCAATGCGCAGGGCCGCCTTGTGCGGGTGGAGGTGACCGGGTGAGGGGGGGGGGGTTAAGGGGAGGGTCGCCAGATTGCGGGTCCTAAGATTTCCTTAAGCGCGTGGTAGCCAACCAAGCCTAACCGTGGGGATGTGGGATCTCTACTGGAGTGTGCATTGCGGATCTTTCCCAGATTGATTTAATTTGGGGGGTTTGTCTGCTGGTTTGTCTGTTTTTGAAGATCTACCCGTCCTGCACACCCCCACGACACGCGGTTCCCGAGGCAGGTCCCTCACCTGCATTGCTTTGCATATTTTTCGACAATTTATATAATTGTTTTGTTTTTTTGGTGTACATTTTTGTACATTTTTGTTCTTGCTGTTGTTACTGCCTAGGACCCGTGGGTCGGTTGACGTGGACCTGGCACTGGCGGGTCTTGCGGCGACCCAGGCGTTGGCTGACGTGGCAGTTGCCGCGCGGCGGGAGCTGGGGCCTGTGCTGGTGGGGGGGGACGGTTGCGGCGGCGGCGGCGCCGCTGCCGCCTCCGCTACCACTCCATCCAGCGGCATGGACCGGCTCCTTCCACGCGACCAGTCCACCCGCAGCAGAAGTCGGCCGAAGCAGCTGGTGGTGGTGGAGGTTCGAGCGACCGATACGGAGCTCAACGTGGCTCTGGGTAAGGAGAGGGCAATTTCGACGGCCTAAACCATGGTTCAGGGCTTCCAGGCCCCTCCTATTACCCTGACTGACAATGCCCTGGGCTTAGAGTCGCATAGAAACCGGCCTAGCCTATCAATGCGTTCGTTCCTGTCGCCCGCCCGGGTTTCATCTACGAAACCAACATGCTGCGGAACCTGCTGGCTGGTCCTGCTTTTTCCTGCGTTTTCTGTGCTGTAGTGGCCGTTGTGGCTGTAGTGGCCGTTGTGGCCGTTGTAACTGTAGTGGCCGGCAGCTGCTGGTCGCGTAGATGGGTCCCTACCCGGATGCCAGGAAGGACTCCCGTCCTGAGACCCACACCTGCGCAACACCCGCAGCGGTGGCCGCCTCCCTGTCGCAGGTGCCGCTGAGGTGGTGACGGTGGCGGCGGTGGAGGCGCGAGCCAGCAGCGGTCTGGCGGCGGCGGCCGTGGAGGCGCTGGCTGTGAGGGTGAATGGCAGAAGGTGCGACCTGGCTTGGCTGGAGTCGGGATTAGGCGTGTCGCAGCGTGGCGCGAGCAGTTACATGGACTGGCCTTGTATGTGCGTATGTATGCATTTATGTACGTCTGAATGTATGCACGTGTTGCCAGCATTGATATGTGGGGTGGGAAATGTTGGCATCATCAGCTGCAGCTGTTTACCCACTGCTTCATGGTGACGTAATGCGGCGCGCTCTTGGCATCTGGCAGACTGCTTGACGTGGACTACCTTACCGCTGGCGCTGCGGAGCCGTTCGCGTCGTCACCACCTGCCCTGACGCCAATGACAGCTGGCGAGCCGGTCTTCACAGCAGCCCCCCCGCAGCCGCCACAGGCGGCTCCTGCAGGGAAGAAGGGTTCACCTGTGGGCCTCCGTACAGCCGGCGGCGGCGGCGCTGGCGTAAGTAGCCGTCACCTCAGCCGTGGGTCAGTGGACATGGAGGACCTGAGCGGTGAGGCCCTGCAGCTGCCGCCGCCGCCGCCGCCGCCGCAGCAGCAGCAGCAACCCCACCGCCGGACACACCGTCGACACGGCAGTTGTCCTGCTGTCTCCGGCTCCGGCAACCCCCTGTCGGCGGCGGCGCTGGCGTCGATTCATGTCGTGGGTACGGCAGCGGCGCCGCCGCCACCGCAGCCGCCGCCGCGCCCAGCGACAGCGGCGCTGCAGCCTTGGACGTCGCTTGGGCGACCGCCGGCGAAGGCAGCGGCGGCCATGGGCGGATCGGCTACTGCCGCTACGGCCGCAACGGGCAAGCGATCTGCCTCACCCGCCGCTGCAGCTATCAAGGTTCGTCTGTATGAATGACGGTGTTGCCACACCGGACGGGATTACACGCAGGTCAAATTAATATTCGCCATAGCCACCAACGCAATCATGGCCGTCGTTACCACGACTGAACAGAATATTACTATTCGGCTATGGCTATGGCTATGGCCGAATAGTTCATCAAATGGCGGCAGACCAGTCCGGGGGCGAGTAATATTCCGTTCAGTTGACGCTGACTCACAGCTTCAACTGACTCGCAGCATCCGTTCAGGTTATTCTCATTTGTCCATGATCCATCCCTGCTAATCCCTGCTGCCGTACAGCAGGGCGCTGTACCTCAATGTACGGTGAATGAGGCCCGGAGGCGTGCGGCCCGAGAGCGCTTTGACCCGACAAAAGAGGACGGCGGCGGCGGCGGCGGCGGCGGGGCAGGTGATGGTGGCGGCGCCAGTGTACCCCAGCCGAAGCGAGCGGTGTCCGTGGACGTGGCGCTGTACGGCGCGACGTTGACAGTTTCGTACGACGAATCAGCGGCGCGCGTGTATGTGGTGGTGGAGATCTGGTCGCGGGCTGTGAAGCAAGTGGGTTGGTGGTGGGCGGGAAACAAATGAGGCGTGAGGTCGGGCGCATGTGAGACGTGGGGGGGCGCCCAGGGCTGGACTGAGGTTTGTCAAGGGTCAGGGTCGGGGTCGCTGGCACTGCCAAGCCGGATGTAGGCGAGTTGCTTAGGGGTTTACAGGTTACAACGGTTGTGGAGGAGGTATATCTCCTCCGGTTTGTGGAGGAGGTATATCTTCTCCTTTCATAGGCACTGATTCTAGCCAAGTGGCGATGCGGCCGGCCCATGGCGTGTTGTGGTCCCTTTCCCTCGTGCAGGTCCTGGGTCCCCGCATTGCGCAACTGAGGGAGACGCTCCGAAACCTAACCCCGAGGAACCTTAAGGGGCCAGGCACCGACGGTACGGCCTCTGTGGCCGGTATTGGTCTGGTCCGTGCCGACGCCGACACCGGCGGCAGCAGCGGCAGCGGCAGCGGGTCAGCCCCCGGCTGTACGGGTGCAGATGGCGCCGCCGCCGGTCGCGACGGCGGCGCGGCAGATATTGTTCGCCGGCCAGATAAGGCCTTTGTGGAGATCCTGTTGGACGCCAGGCGGTTGGCGGTTGTAGTTGAGCATCAACCGTTGGAAGCGTGGCTGGCCTTGCACGGAAATGCGCTGCGGGTGGGAGCGGGCGGGGTGCGGCGGGTTGGGTCGAGGACCGTTCCCGTGGGGGGGGAGGACCTGCGCGGGTTGCGGGGAGGAGGGTGTAGGGTGCAGGTGGGGTAGATGGATATGTTGGTGCAAGCGAGGGGCTTTGAACTGAGCGGTCCCGGTGTTGAGTTCCCATCTAACCTCCATTTCTTCAAGTGATGAACATGCTGATTCGACTGCTATGTTAAAATTGTTAGTCCAAATAGTTAATACCGCCACCTGCAGGCCACCGCAACGCAGCGGAACCTTTACGACAGGCTGATGAGGGGCCATGTGGGCTCCTGCGCGGCGAGAGGCCGGCGAGACGTCGTCGCCGCAGTGGCGGGAGCCAGTGCCGCCGCCGTCGCGGAGGCAGCCGCTGGTGCTGGCGGCGGCGGCGGCGGCGACGCGCTGATGACGGGTCGCCATCGCCTGGGCACCCCACCGGATGGGGACATAGAGAGCATATTGGCCCGCAGGAGCAGCAGTAGCAGCAGCAGCAGTAGTAGCAGCAGCAGTAGCAGCAGTGACAGCAGCAGCAGCAGCAGCAGCAGGGGCGATGGTAGTAGCAGTGACAGCAGCGGCAGCAGCGACAGTGAGGGTGGCAGTGGCAGGGGTCTGCGTGGGATATTTGGGAGGAAGGGGAGGAAGAGGGGTAAGGCAGGGGAGGCGGCGGCGGCGGCGGCTGCCGCGACCGCCGCCGCAGCTCCCGCCGCCGCCACGTGGGGTGCAGGAGGGGACGTCGGTAGCGGCGAGGGGGTGCAGGATGAGTGGGCGCAGGTAGGCAGCTGTCTGGGGGCACCCGGAGGGGAGACGGGTGTGAAGGGAGGTGCGGTGCTAGCGGGCGGTCATGACTGGGGATGTCTGGGGAACGGCGTAAGCTTGATAGCTGTCTGATGCCCGTTGGGATAATAATTATCGCCCGCTAAGGGGCGATTGGAGTGTCGGTTGGAGTGTCGGTTGGAGTGTCGGTTGGAGTGTCTCTGCGGCGTAACCGAAATAGGCAACCAGCTTCCCCCATGTTCACGTCATTGCTGTCCTTCGCAAGTAGATGGGATTCACACATATGCGCGTAGGTAATGCGTGACGTGGCAGCCACCTATATTGCGGCGTGCCGCGCTGTGGAGGCTGCCGCTGCTGCTGCCGGCGGCAGCAGCAGCAGCAGTGTCGGCGGCGGTATGGCGGACACCGGCGCCAGCGGTGGCGGTGGCGGTGGCGGCGGCGGCGGCGGCGGCGGTGCTGTGTCGCTGTCCGGCTGCCCTGGGGGAGCGCTGCTGCACCTCTCTCTGGCTGACGCCCAGGTGGGTGGCTGGGGTGAGTGGTTGGCGGGTGGGGGAGAGAACTTGAATCCTGGTTTATGCTGGACATTAGCTGGTGATCTTGTCTCTGAGAGGGGCAGTAAGGCTAGATGAGCCAAGCAGTTGCCTGATTTTGTCATTTTGTCCCAAACAATTCTTGGACGTTTAAAGGTAGATGGCGCTCCTCTAGGAGCTTGAGGAGAATCCGATAATTACGGGATATTTTGAGATTGATATTTTGCAGAACGCGCTTTTTGTAAGGAAAACAATTAATATCCAATTTCCTGCGTGTAAGGAGGGCCCGAGGAATAGCTCCGACGCGGACGGCCGAATGTGGAAGGGCCCGTCGGGCAGCCTCCTTATGTGCCGTCATACTTGGGCTCTGTACGTGTACGTGCATGTTCATCGATATGCCGCACGCGCTTTGTACTCGCGTACTCCTGCACACCTACTTACCTACCTACCTACCTACCTACCTACCTACCTGTCTACCTACCTACCTACCTACCTGTCTACCTACCTACCTACCTACCTACCTGTCTACCTACCTACCTACCTACCTACCTACCTACCTACCTACCTACCTACCTACCTACCTACCTACCTACCTACCTACCTACCTACCTAACCACCCGCCCAGGCCGCCGTCATGGTGGCCCCTCCGGGATGTAACCGAGGTCGCGAGGTGAGCCAGCGGGAAGCGCTTTTGGACAAGTGTGGGGTACCTTGCGTTCGGTGTCGCGGTTCGCTCAGCCCGGCAGCTGCTTGGCAATCCTTCTTGTCCCCCCATGCCTGCTGTGCTTGCATCGTCTGACTAAGCGATATGCTTGCCCCAAAGATCGCCATATGACATATGTCGTTCACCGTGTGCTTCCGTGTCCCTTCACTCAATCCACCATCAGAGCAAGCGCGGTTGAGAGGCCTGAGGCTGAGGCCCACACGCACCTGGGCGCAGTCCTGGCTTCATCCTGACACGCGTGACGTGTGTGTGTGTGTGTGTGTGTGTGTGTGTGTGTGTGTGTGTGTGTGTGTGTGTGTGTGTGTGTGTGTGTGTGTGTGTCGTCCCACGCGTGTGTTTCGGGTGCTCGGTGGCCATTCGCAGTTCTGCTGTTATGTCCCGGCTATAAACCAAGACTGTAGCGACCCCCATAGCTGGTATGGTGTTGATGACACAGAATAATGGTTGATTGAGGCCGGGGACCAAACATCCCGGGAAAAGGGCTCCCAAGAGGGGAGAAGAGAAGTAAAAAGGTAGTAAGATGGAAAAATTTATGTATGTATGTGTGTACGGGATGTGCAGGTGGCGGAGGCGGTGATCCGCCGAGTGGACTCCCCCGCCAGCGAGGGCGTCATGTTTGAGCGGGTGGTGGCGGTGTCGCTGGCGGCAGCGGCGTCGGATCTGCAGGTGGGTGCCAACAGCAGTAGCAGCAGTAGCAGTAGTAGCAGCAGCAGCAGCTGGACGTCAGCAACAAGCCCCCATCCTAATCTAGTAGCAAGAGCTGCTGCTGCTGCTGCTGCAGTAGCACTGTGTTGTAGGCTGCATGTGTCCTGCGCTGTCAGACCCTAACCAGTTTTTTTTAAGTAATATATTCCTTAAAAGGAATAAAGAGGCCATTTTGGCCTTTGGAAAAACGGAATGAATTGAGGCCGATCCGTACATTTTCATTCCTCCAGCCAAAAACGTCCATTGCTGCCAGATTGCTCCGTAGTGTGCAGAACTTATCAATCATAGAAAAGATATGAGGGGCCGTAAGAAGGTCAAGCCCGTGAGTCAATGCAGAATGTATGACCGGTCCTCACATAGCCAAACACGCAAAAGAAGAGTGCGCACATGAACGAAAACGCGCCAACTCAGTGCGTGCCTCTTGGTCTATGAGGGGAGTTGTAACTTATCGGGGGGGGGGTCGGGGGGGGGTGTAGCCCCCCCCAGCGTCCCACACTTACGGAATAAATTACGGCGACCCTAGCAACTTTGTTACTTAGGTTGGAATAAATTGAGACCCGCCCTAAATGAAAAAAAAATCACTGTCCCTAACCCCATTGCCGTAGTCCTGTGCCATACCAGCCAGGTTACAGCCGCTGCGTTGTACGGCACCCCACCCCACCGCAGTTTCCTACTCGATGCGGCCAATGTACGGTGTCCGTCAGCGCCCGTGGTCTCGAGGGGGCCGGTGCGCCCTAACGTCTGCGCTTTCTCTACTCTCTTGCGCCCTTGTGCCCTTGCGCCCCATGCGCTTTCCATGCTGAAGGAAGCTGCAAAAGCCCTGGTAGTGCTGGGGGTGCTCTATGTGATCTCCCTATGCGATTCGTGTCCTGTATGTGGGTCAAGCACCGCCCCCGGGCCCCCCTTTCCCCTGGCAGCAGCTTCACTCGTTCGTGGTTCGTCTTTCCCCCCCTTTCCCCGCCGCGCCCCACCCGCAGGCCTGTCTAGCTGGTTGCGGCGGGCCCTCCTCCCCCGCACTGACCTGCGGCCAGGCGGCAGTCTCCGGGTGGATCATCCGGGCGAGGCAGCTGGCGGCACCGCCGCGTTCAGCCGTCGCGAAGTGGCCCGTGGGTCGCTACCTCTCGGCCCCCGTGGCCACACCGCTGCGGTTCTGCCGGCCCAACATGAAGACCTACACCGACCTGCGCGTCGAGGTGAGTGGCTGGGGGGCTGGGGGGCTGAGCGGCTGGGGGGCTGAGCGGCTGAGCGGGCTGAGCGGCTGAGCGGCTGAGCGGGCGACGGATAGCAGTGTAACTGATAGCAGTGAGAAAACGGGCTCTGTAGGTGAACAGTGTGGGAAGATGGGTAGGAATGAAAGAAAGGAGGTTCGCGGAAAGTGAGCGCAGAGAGTGCAGGTAGCGGTAGCGGTAGCGGTAGTGGATCTAGGGAAGGCTGGACGAACCCCTAGAGCTTGGTAGCATTAAGTGTGGTACGGGGCTCGGACCGGGGGAAGTGCCGTACCGTACGGTACACTACCGTGCCCTACCGATTTCTGTTGTGCCAGCTGTTGAGCTCGTAGGGAGGCCGGCAATGCGCTAGCGCGGCGGTATCTGATCTGGACAGGAGCTTGGTTCCACTTCCAGTTCCAGTTCCAGTTCCAGTTCCAGTTCCCGGGGCATTCCGTGCTTTGGGGAAACTTAGTACGGAGGGTGTGAGAGACGAAGGGCGACTAAAAGGATGCACAGTGTGCACTGGTTCTCCTGCGCCGTTGTTTTGGCGGCTGTGTGTGATGCGTGTGGGCGTGCTGCGTCGTCGTGTGTGAGCCTGGTGCTGCGTGCTGTGCTTTTCGCTGCTGTGTGCTGTGCAGATGGATGCTGTTTCAGCCGCGTTCGGTACTGCTATGGAGCCCGTACTCGCACAGGTGCGTTGTGTGTATGTATGTCTGTATGTATGTCTGTATGTATGTATGTTGTTATAGGGTGGTTAAGCTTCACCAGCGGCCCCCTTTCCCGAGGGCAGTTCCCTGCTCTCCCCTGCGAGAGGGGCACCCTAATCCATTCACCCCATCCGATTTCAGAATGTATTTATTGGGTTCAGCAACTCACCGCCAGCATCCAACCAAATCTAGCGGATCAACGGGGCCTCAACTTAGTTCCTGGTCAGCTCGCAAGTTGATATTATCACGTCCTACACCGTCCATATGATGGGGGGCCACCTCCCATTTCAACACTCCTCAAACACCCAAGGATCCCGGACACCCCGGGAGCAAAAGTCAGGCCAAACCTCTGCCAGCAACCTGCTGTTTTAGAGTCAATTCCAACTTGGTTGTTTACTTTCCTTAAAATCTATTAAATTGCAAGACAGGACAATCTGCGAATTGCTAGGATCGAACTAGCGACCTCTAGATCTTCAGTCTAGCGCTCTCCCAACTGAGCTAAATCCGCTGTTATGTGTGTAAGTTTATAAGTATGGTATAGTAGTAGTGGGGGGAGGGGAAAGGAGTTTAGGTAGATATCAGTATCAGGAGGGCCCAGACCGCTGGGTGGTGGGGAGGAGGGGGAGAAGATACAAATGATGTTGTAGCGCGTGGCTAGGCAAAAGGGCCACAGTCAGAGCCCTGCGAGGTTAGGCCTTACTCGGAAGGGTTTGGAGCGGCTGGGGGGAAAAGCAGAGCGGGCCAAGAGGGGCATGGTTTCTTCCTTCCTGTTCATGGTTCTTCCCTGGACGCGGTCCACGCCGCCCAGCCTGTTGTCTTTAGTTCTTTTTCCCAAGTCACTACTGGTTGGCAAACCTCGTTTTTCAAACTTTTGCGGTATCTGTGTCCAATCCTGGAGTAACCGTTCATCTATATCTGGTATCAGCTTCATCATTCGCCTGTGGTTCGTCTTCCCTCCCTCCCTCCGCATCTGCCGCTCTCTCGACGTCCTACCTGACCAACCTCTCTATGGACCGCCGCCTCCTTCCTCCCAATCGGATCCGTCCTCCACCTCCTTTCAATCGCAGCTGGCAAAGGCGTTCAAGCAGCGGGTGGTACCGCCTCAGCCACAGCTGCTGCAACCCAGCGGACAGTTGGCACCACAGCAACAGCCGCCGTGGGTATTGGGTAGAGCAGGCGGAGCAGCGGGGGGAGCCGCGGCGCCAAACACCGCCGCCACCACCACCACCACCACCACCAGCAGTCCCTCCGGACTTCCCCCTTGGGACAATATCCGCTACGTGTGGAGGGGCGGCATGAAGGTACACTGGCGGGGGCCCCTCGTGGGTCAAGAGTGTTTGTGTCCGTGGGCTGGCGGGATTGACTTGAATGGGAAACTAAGGGGAAAATAAACGGAAACTAAGGGGAAAAATAAAGGGAAAATTAAAGGGAAGATAAAAGGGAATTGAAGGAGAAAATAAGGGGAAAATAAGCAACTCACTCCGACCTAGACCCGATGAAGCTTATGAATCTTGGAGTCCAGCTGCGCCCATGCCCGCATAGCGGTAGGCTCACTTTATGCAACGGCTAGAGATACAAAACCCCCTAACCCCTCCACTTTGTAAGAGCCTTACAGGGGATGTCTTCTACATATCAAGATGGTTTTCAGGACGAATTTTCTTATATAGCCCTCCGCCTGGCCTTGAAGCCCAATCCAATCCACACGCTGGCAACGCAGGTGATGATCCGCGGGCTGAATGCAGTAGCAGCTGCTTCCTCCCTTGAGTTGCCCATCACCGCTCATGACCCGCGGGTCACTCTATCTGCCAGCACTCTGGGCGTCAAGCTCTCCAGCGGTCAGGTGGATCTCACGGCGACGGCGCTGTCGGTGCTGGGCTTTGCGCGTGGCCCGGGGCGGGGACCCGGTGAGCGCGTGGCGGTCAGAAATAATATTGCGGTGGTGCCTGGTGTTGGACGTGAGAGGGTGGTGGTGGTGGTGGTGGTGGTGGTGGTGGTACTGATTGCATGGTGCATGGGGAGGGAAGCCCGGGGGGGAGGGGGGGAGGAAACGCGTGGCGAGTGTGTATGGGCCCCCCCAGCCAGGAAGACAAAGATGACAGGACCGAGAAAGGGCACGAGCCTGAAAAGCGACGTAGGTGGGCTACTTGTAGGTTTAGTTCGGTTGCTCTGGTTGGTTGGTAAGTCGTACCGGGGCGGGTGTGGTACCATGACGGGGGTTCCAGGGGGCCTGAGCTGAGGGGCGGCGCCTTGGGGTTGGTGTGGGAAGGAGCGATAGGGGTGATAGGAGCGATCAGAGCGGTGGGGGCGATGGGCGATGGATGATGCCTCGGAAGGTGAGTTTGGTGGGTGGGTGGCAGCCGTCCGTCAGCCCCACCACCGCGCTCCTGCTGTGGCAGGGTAGTCGTCCATGCCGTCCGCGAGGTTCCCGTCCATCCCGTCATCCGAAGAGTCTCATTCCCGTCAACACTCGCGGGGTCTAGTGGACCTCCGGCGGCTCCTCTCGGCCCGCGGGCCGGTCATCCTTTCCATGCCTGGCAAGTCTGTGCCTGCGTGACCATTTCTTTGTAGGTTTCAGGTTCCAAGTCCGTCCGTGAATCCCACTATACCTAATTCACCACGATTCACCACAAATGCCACAATAGTGATCGTCGTCACGTCTTGTTGCGAAATGTTGCAAATATTCCCGTGTGATCGTGTGTCCCCTTCCTTCCCGAGGCATCTCCCCATGATGTGCATTCTATCCCCGCAAAGAACTTGTGTTCCCTGCCTATTCCCTGCCGTTCTCAGGCGAGCGACTGGTAACGGTGCCCCTCCTGGCGCTACCCCTGCTCAAGACCTCGCTCCACACCGCGTTCAAGCAGCGCAGCCCCACACCCTATGCCTTCCCGCTGCTCTCAGGGCCGCTGCCAGAGGGTGCCGTACAGGTAGGGGGGGTCTTGCGCCGTACCATCTTCTCTCCGCCGGGCTCCGGCGCTGCTCCCCTGACAGGTTTGGGGGTTTTACGGATTTGGGTTTTTTTCCGGACATCGCCACGCGCCTGGCTGTGGGGCGTCTAAACCTTACGACGCAAAAAAAAGGAAAAAAAGAAAGAAGAATAAAAAGGAACCACAATCTCGTTCGTTCAGTTTTACTGGCAGGCTAAATGTGCGGCGCGGGCCCGGCCGGAGCTAAGGCTTCCCAGGCCCTGCGTTTCCACGGCAGGGCCCCTTGTGTTTGTGTCGAACTGAGCAATGAGCACCCATACACCGGTCGCCGAAGCTGCACACACTCGCGCATTGTCGCCAATACGCCTATCCTCATCCACACACGTCTTCAAATTTCCAATGCACGCCTTGCCGCAAATTACCCTGAATATGACCCTGAGCCCGTGTTCTTCTTGTGCAATGTGGCCTTTATCTGTTCCACAGCTCCCGCTCCTTGCTTTCTGTAGTTATTTAAATATTTTCCTGCCGGCTTTGTATGACTTACTCTTATGGCCTTGTAAAACATTTTTATTTATTGTTTACTTCAGGAACCGGTTGACGTGCCGGGCCTTATGCGGAGCGCTTCCTGGAGCTTGGCGCTGGAGATCTCGTTATCGCGGGACGCCGTGGCGCACCTGCTGCCCCACCAACCGATTCCAACCGCCACTGCAAGCACCTCAACCGCCGTTGCTTCAACTGGCAACGGCATGCCGCAGCTGCCTCTGTGGGCCCCCGTACCTCTGCCTATGCACCATCAGCAACCTCAGCAACCTCAGCATAACGCTACCCTGGCCTTGACGCCAAGGCAGCAGCAACAGCAGCAACAGCAGCAGCAGCCTGCTGTTTCCGCGGGCGGAGTGGAGGGCATAGCCCGGGTGTACATCGGGGAGATGCAGGTCCGCGTGTGTGTATGTATGCATGTGTGTATGTGCGTGTATGTATGGAAGGGTGAGGGTTGTCGCTGGGTTTCGGAGGCGCATAAACGAGGGCTGGCAAAGGGCAGCAAGGGCCTCCGAGGTGGGGTTATTGTAGCGGTGGTGTTTTGGGAGGTGAGGAAAAATGCAAGCGAGCTGGATGGCGGGGTGGCGGGGTGGGTGTTGGTATTGGTAATCTGATGCTGGAAGGGCCTTTTGTCCATTTGGAGCATCCCTCCTACCCTACTATGCATGGGGTGGTGGTGAATGTACGGCATTCCCTCCAGTTTCTGAGTCTTAATGTACGGTGTTATATACTATGGCCGGCGGCGGTGGCGACTCCTGGCTGCAGGTCAAGTTCATTTTGGGGCTTGTGCACGGCCTTGCCAACGGTGCACCTGTTATGACCCGTGGGTCATGGAAGCGCCGCACGCATTTCGGTCCGGCTCTGTGGCCGCCGCAGCCGCCGCCGTCCGCGTCATCTCCGCCTACTGGTGCTGCAGCGACAGCGGCGGCGAGCTCTTCCTCCAGCGCAGCCGCAGATCGGGTTGCTGCTGCTGCTGGCGGTGCTGCTGGCGGTGGTGCTGGCGGTGGTTCCTTAGGTGGTCTCAGCCTGGGTGTCCTCCTATCCAGAGTTGATATCAACCTGAGTGCTGACGTGTTCGACATCGTGCACGACGCCCAGGTGGGCTGGGCTGTCTTGTCTTGGTTTGGTTCGTTCGGTTGAGTTCGTTAGGGTCTGGGCAGGTTGAGTTGGGTTGGTTAAGAGTAGGTTAAGAGTAGGTTAACAGGGTGGGTTGGGATGGGGGGGGTAAGAATGCAGTCATGAAGCGAAGGAAAGCGCCCCGGAACTTGGGTTGATTCTTACAGCTATCACCCCATCCACACACACACATCATAGTGTCTTCATACCGTCGTTTGCATAGTTGCGTTTGCGGGGCACGGTTACCGGATATGCCTTGATGTCCGTCTGTCTGTCCATCTCAAACCAAAACTTGAAAAGCTGGCGTGTGATTTGAATGGTGTGCGACGCCCGTTCACCTTGAGAACGCTGCTCCAGGGCTTTACCCCCCGCTCTCCCCCACATACACACACGCACACGCGTGCATGGGCGGGGTGTCATGTGTAATGTGATGTTGGGGGTAAATGGCAGTACACTTTCGTGTACGACCCGGATATCCATCGGATGATGACCCTCTTGCACTTGCACGCAGGACGCTGACGACCCCTCCGACCTTGTGTGTCTGAGGACCCGGAAACTGCGTTACGCCAACACGTTCAGCTACTCCCGGGTGGGTCGGTGGGCAGCTTTGGATATGTATGTGTGTTGTTGATGTTGTTGATGTTGTTGTTGCTGTCGTTGCTGTCGTTGTTATTACAGAGGGCTACCAAGTTTCTATACCGCAAGGCAAAGAAACCCCGAGCCAAAGGGCACATCGCCTGTTTGTGTGCGTGTGTGTGTGTGTGGTTCGGTGGGGGGGGTCCTGCGTGCATCGTTTCGTTGGAAGTTGGGTCTTAAGTTGGTCTGGGCCGGGACTGCTATAATCTTTGGTCGGCCACCAGCTTTTGTGGAGGCGGTGGGGGACCCACCCGGATCTCCACACGACCAACAGGGACCTCACTGCCCGTCCGTTATCATCCATGTATGTCGCGGGGTGTGTGTGTATGTGTGTGTATGTGAGTGAGTGTGTTAGTGTGAGTGTGAGTGTGTGTGAGAGTGTGTGTGAGAGTGTGAGTGCTGGCCCTGATGCTGGGGGTTCGCCGGCACACAGAGCCTCCCGGGCTCTTCACCCCCGCACCCGCGCTGGCTGTTCAACCACCTTCTCCGCCCTTCACTACCGACCTACGTCACCGACCCTCCGACCCATGGGACCTACCTCCAGGCCATCCGTACAACACCTCGGAGCAACGGCACATCGCGAAACAAGCTCGTGGCTCGCCCCATCATGACCGCACTCAGTGTGGAGGCGTACGACATCAGGATTTTCATACCCAGCGGTGGGAGCGGCGGCTCCGCCTCTGCCTCCGTCCCAGGCGCTGCAGGCCCCGGGGGAACAACTGGCCTGGCGGCGGTGACGACGGCACATTCGCCGGCTTCAGGTGCTGCAACAACGGCGGCGGCGGCGGCGGCGGCGGCCAACCTGCGGCGGCGGCACGGCGGCTATAGCGGCGGTGTGGGCGGCAGCAGTGGGCTGGGACTGGGTGAGGCGGGAAGGGAGGGAGGCGGGAGTACGGTGCGTCCTAGCGGTGGGAACCCTAAGATCTAAGACCATTGGTGATCTAGATCACCACTCTCAGGCCCCCTAAACTCTTGCCCTGGCAGCAGCTTCACTCGTTCGTGGTTCGTCTTTCCCCCCACCCGGGAAATATCGTAGGGCCCACAACCCCACGGAGTCCCACGAGCTCATGAGCCGGTGCTTTGCCCTTACCCTCTCGTCCACCAATCACGCTACGGTGATGCGTGATGTGCTGTGTTTTGCTGTGCTGTGCGCCTGGCCGTGCGTGCCTGGCCACGTCGGGTGCCTCGCAGCTTCTGAGGCTGCTGCACCCTGCACAGGTGACCCATGGGACGGTGCCGACCCTGCCGCCGGACCGGGATTCGGAGCAGGACTTATCGCGACTTGCGACTGTCTGCTGCTGCGTCAGGTACGAACTGTACCGCACCGTACCGTACCGTGAACTAACTTTTTATTAGTCCACAAGCCTCACTCGGTGCAGTGGTAACGGTCCGTACCGGTGTTTGTACGTTGTGTGGGTGTGTGATGCTGACCAAGACTGGCCCAAAAACGTACCTCCAGGCGATATCGCACATTGGATCTCCGATGTGTAATACCACCATTTAAGATTGGTTTTTTCCAACCTATTAATTAATTATTCTCATACTCAATTTCATCTAATAGTTATTTACGCATATGTATCAACACCCCGTAGTTCAGTTGCCACGAACGGTGGACGTGGTAAGCTTCCAATCTCACCAGCAAGAGAATGCCCCGTTCCCTAGGGTTTCCGTGCATACCTGCTTCCCTAGGGGCTTTGTCTCTCCTTCCTTCCCTCCTTCCTTCCTTCCTTCCTTTCTTCCTTCCCGCCCACCGGTAGTAGGCGCTTCGGACACATCAGTGCTGTGGACATCATAGCTCTGCAGATTGTTATCTACGATAGTACTCCGGTTGGTATCTCACCCGCCGCCTCCACGCCTTGCCCCCGCTTCCTCCCCCGGTTCCTTCCACGCACACACACACACACACACACACACACATGCAGGCGGAGCCGGAGGGCAGCAGCTCCTCTGCGGAGGCCTCGCAACCGCTGACGATGTGGCCGTCCGCGCAGGCGGCAGGACCCCAGCCACAGCCACAGCAACCTAACCGACCCATCCGTATTGTTGTACAGGACGTGCAGGTGCGGTATTAGGGTGGTGGTGGGGGGAAGCTTACTGGTATGCGGCGGATCTGTGGAGCTGTGTGAGTGGGTGTGAGTGTGGGTGTGTTGGGATAGAGGTGGTGGTGGTAGTGGTGGTAGTGGTGGTAGTGGTGGTAGTGGTGTTAGTGGTGGTAGTGGTGTTAGTGATGTTAGTGGTGGTAGTGGTAATAGTGGTGGTAGTGGTGTTAGTGGTGTTAGTGGTGGTAGTGGTAGAGGCGTTGTATGGCCATGGAGCCTAGTTGGATGCGGTTGCAGCCGCGGATGTTTCCTCTTGAAACGTGAAGAGCCATTGAAAAGGGTTTCATGCGTCGACAGTACCACCACGGGGGTATCGGTCCACCTGAGATCCTTACCGAGATGTATTAGATGATTTGTGTTGTGTACACGCAGGTGCTGTGTACGACAGACTCTCGTGATGCCGTCATCGCCACCACTGTCCACATCATCGAGGTAAGAGTTAAGCGAAAAGGGGGCCCCTGCAGTCCTGAGTTTGTCTGTGTGCGCCCCACCGTGCCTGTGTGTGTTTGCATGTATGTGGCACAGTATGTCGTTGGAGGTTTATGAGGTGGGCGGCCGTTTCGGTGACTGCGGAGCCCCCCACTGGAGCCCCGAAGGGGGAGGGCGGACCTTTGGGGGAACAGAACTACCCCCTTTTTTGAGCCACCACTCTCTCTCTCTCCCTCTACCTATCTATCTCACAGAGACACACACATACAGACACACACACACACATGTCGTGCGGGCTAATGTCGGGAGGGCCCTCTGTGCCTGTAACCTGCCTCCAGTCACATGTCACCTCTTCACCTTGCACACGCCACATCAGCCAGGAGGGTGCTTCTACTGGTACGGCACGCTATCGCAGCAATCATCCAGCTATAGAGAACCGACACCGTCATCACGTGTGTGTGTATGGGGGGGGTGCATGTGGGATGTGTTTCTGTTCAGGCAATCTGGCAGGTTTACCGCCGTCCTCCAACCCCACTCTCAGAGACAAACACACACACACGGGGCCGCGGTTGGGGCATTCATACCCCTGACTCATGCGCGTAGCCAGGGTTACGGCTTCCTTCGCCGTTTCTGTCTCCCCATCTCCCCCGCCCCCCCCCCCACACACAGGCCTTCTCACGCCTGCCCGGATCCGCTGCCGCGCGAGCTGCCGCCGCCGCTGCCAACGCAGCCAACGCCGCGAAGGCAGCTGCCGCCGGCGGCGGTGGCAGCACCGCCGCCGGCGCCGGCGCCGCTGGCGGCGGCAGCTCTACCCTGGGCCGCCGCATGGCAGACGTGACTGCTCCAGGGGCCCTTCCAGGGCGAGGTGGGCAGGGAGTGGAGGGAGGGCAGATGTTGGCAGATCCCTCGGCTGAGCGAAAGAGCGGTGGCGGCGGCACCGGCGGTAGCGGCGGCATCGTTGGCCATGGTGGGCTTGTAGGTACGGCAGCGGCGGCGACGGCGGTGGCAGGTGCGGCGGGTGGCCTAGAAGGTAAGGCAGCTGTTCTACCACACCAGCAAGGACAGGCACGGACGTCACTGGTGCTGCCGCTGCGGACCGCGCCATCGCAACGGCTGGACTCTGATCCATTGGCTGAGCCGCAGATCGACCCACGGGTCATTGCGGAAGAACGGGCGCTAGTGGCGCTGCTGCGGCAGCAGAACGAGGCGCGCAGGTGCGCGAACGAGACGTTCCCGGGAAAATGGGGAAGTGCGGGAGGGGAGGGAGAGGGGGGGAAGGGGAGGGGAGGGGAGCGAGAGGGGGGGAAGGGGAGGGGAGGGGAGGGAGAGGGGGGGAAGGGGAGGGGAAGGGAGGGAAGGGGAGGCCAAGGAGAAGGGAGGGTAAATTTTACTTCCAAGCATCATGCAGCGGTTGACACAGCAAAAACATCAGCCTCACTCACCCGCACGTGCCACCTGATCGACCAAACCCCTGTTCAACCCCTGTTCAACCCGCTTCCTCCGTCTCCCGATAATGCCAGGGCGGCAGCTCGGCGACGTCGGCTGGAGCGCTCCTCCGGCTCCACCATCTCCACAGCAGCGGCCACGGATCCGGATCCAGCCGGCAGCTTCAACTCAGATTCCGACGACGAGGGCGTACTGGGCGGTGGCCTAGACCCCTCCGACGCGCAAGACGTGCGGGATGCCGAGGCCGAGACAGAGGCAGCCGTGCCGCCGGCGGCAGCTAGCGCCGCCGCAGGGCGGGCTTCGGCTGCCGTACACACGGCCGAGCAGCAGCACCCCGCCATGCAGACGTTGTACGAGGTGGAGTTTGTCTTGGTGCAGGTGGGTCCTGTGCGCCAACCGCTAACCGTTAACCGTTAGTCAGTACTGCGGTGTACTGGCTGCATGTGCGGATTTCCTCTTTTTCTCACCCCCCCTTCGTATCTTTGTTTCTCACTTCTCTGCGTTGCGTGCCTAAAAGGCGTTGCAAAGCCTGGAAAAGCACCGGTAACTTGCGCAACGCCAGTCGTTGTCAGTCGGAGCAAGTGCGACGTGATCCCTTGCCCTCTCCCTTAAGCTAATCGACGAGGCGCAGTCAACGTGCGGCGGTGGCATCTATCCGTCCGTCCGTCTGTCCGTCTGTCTGTTCGTCTGTGCGTCCATCCGTCAAGTGTTGTGAGCCTCCCTCCCTGGCGCAACTGCAGGTGGCCCTCATTTCCGAGTACGGCGGCAGCAGCGCCTGCCTGGTGCTGGGTGCTGACAGTGCATTGCTGCGCGGTGGCAGGGCGCCTGCGGCTGCCGGGGCGTCTACAGCATCTGCGACGGGTACGGCAACGGCAGCGGCAGCGGCGGGTACTTCGGCCGCGACGGCGGCAGCGGGGACGGGGACGGGGACCCTCAAGGTGCTCACGTTCGATGTGGAGACTTTGCAGGTGAGGGGGTGGTTTGTGAGGGAGCCGGAGCCGCATGGCACGTTGCATGCTAACGGACTTAACGGAGGCTACGTTGGAGCGCTGTAACGGCTACTCGGAGTGGTGTTTTGTCGAGGGGAGGGCTGGAAGGGGACGGGCCGCAGGACTTTTTGGACAAAATGGCGTTTTTGTTCCTTTTTACTTGTTTCGGGCACCCATACAGCATGTCTTGTCGTGTTCCTTTGCGTTGGGATAGATTCGTAATTATAATTATAATTATAATTATAATTATGTTTATATTTATATTTATATTCTATATTTATATTTATATTTATATTTATATTTTATTAATATTAATACTAATATTTATATTTTATATTTATTTATTTTTATATTTATATTTATATGTGCTGTTTGATTTGCATGGCTATGTACGGCATTGTGGAGGTGTTGTGATGATTGCGCTGGGGTTGTTGTTCCGGAGGCGCTGTGGTGCGTTGAGTCTCCTTGTTTCGCTCGCAGCACAGGGGCAATCGCCCCTGAGGTGCTCTGCGGGTACTGCCCCGGTGCTGTTGGCTGGCGGACACTGGCTGACGCGGATAGTTGGCGCAGGTCTGAATGGCGTTTCTTACCTCTTCAGCCAATCGTATGCTAATTTTAACCTGTAAGAGGGGGTGTTTGACCCAACGTTTGCACGTGGGACCCCGCACACCTGCTATTACAGGCTTATGCGGCCCGACAGGACCAGTCCCGGGAGGCTTCGGCGATGGCCCTAGCGGCTGGCGGCACCGCTGCCGCCGGCAGTAGTTCTGCAGCCGGCGGCGGCGGCAGCGGCGGCTTGCGACCATCATTTTCACCCCTAACGGACGCGCTGGCAGCTTCAGCGGCAGCGGCGGCTTCGGCGGCTTCAGCGGCTGGAGGTGCCGGCAGCGGCGGAGGGCTTGGACAGCGGTCTTCCGATGTCACCGCCGTCAGCGGCGGTGGCGGTGCGTATGGAACTGGGTTTCCAGCCCCTGTGGTGTGGCTGCAGGTGGTGAACGGTGAGGATGTTGCCGTGGGACAAGGATTTTGTTCTGGGGATATCAAAATGGCGACAATCGACATCTTTTTCCTTTCTCTGTCCTCCAGCAGCAGCAGGTGCTGGTTTCTTTCTCTCCTCCGCCCTCGTACTTGTAGTAGTACCTTGCTGTGGTACGGCAATCTTGCATGCGTTGGGGGGAAAATTGACCCTCACGTGCACTCATCTGATCTCTAGCGGTAGCTCTGAAAGTGCCGTCATCATCCGTACATACCGTACGCAGGGCAACTTCTGCCCTATGGCGCTGCACAGCCTACGAACCGGACCATCCCCGTCGTCGTCAGCGGCTATGGAGGGGGCGCCGCCGCTGCGGCTGCTGGTGCTGCTGCTGCGTCGGACTATGCTGCAGCTACAACTTCTGGATTCGAGCCGCTTGGATCTCGAATCATCATGCAGAAGATCCTGAATCCATTTCGGATCCACCTCACCAGCTCTCGTCCATGGATTGCGCCGCCGGGCTCTCCTCTTGACGCTCTGACGGCGGCGGTGCCGGTGAACCCATCATCAGTGCCGCGGGGGCCGGTGGCGGCGGCAGCGCAGCAGCCGCAGTCGCAGCCGCAGCGGCTGCAGCCGTCGGGCGGCAGAGGCAACTCGCCCGAGGGGGGTTCCGGCGGCAGCGGCGGCTTAAAACTGGATATTGACGTCCCTGCCATCACGGGCCAGATGGAGAGCTGGCAGTTCCAGCTGCTGCTAGCGGTCATCAATGAGACGTTGGCGGCACCCTTGCCCAAGGTGAGTGTTATTGAGACATTACCGTACCGGTGTGGAGCGGTATGTCTGTCTGTCCGTGTGTCTGTATCTGTACGTGTGGAGGGGAGGAAATTAAGCATGAGGAGGGGTATGGATAGATGGTATGCTGAGCAACCATGATGGAAGCGGTTGCAGCTCTGTTGGGGGTCGGGGCTGTCCGGGTCACAAATAAGAGGTTGGTAGCAGCAGCCCTCCGCCCCGTCATTCGCATGACGGCCTCCCGCGTCCCCACCCTAACCGTTCGTGGTTCGTCTTTCCCCACCGTGGTTCGTCTTTCCCCACCCTAACCCTAACCCTAACCCTAACCCTAACCCTAACCCTAACCCTAACCCTAACCCTAACCCTAACCCTAACCCTAACCCTAACCCTAACCCTAACCCTAACCCTAACCCTAACCCTAACCCTAACCCTAACCCTAACCCTAACCCTAACCCTAACCTTAACCCTAACCCTAACCCTAACCCTAACCCTAACCCTAACCCTAACCCTAACCCTAACCCTAACCCTAACCCTAACCCTAACCCTAACCCTAACCCTAACCCTAACCCTAACCCTAACCCTAACCCTAACCCTAACCCTAACCCTAACCCTAACCCTAACCCTAACCCTAACCCTAACCCTAACCCTAACCCTAACCCTAACCCTAACCCTAACCCTAACCCTAACCCTAACCCTAACCCTAACCCTAACCCTAACCCTAACCCTAACCCTAACCCTAACTCTCCCACCCGGCTCCATTCTGCTGTTCACCACTCTAGGGTGGATGTCACCTTCCCGTATTTGCCTCCTCCCTCCCCTCTTTGGCGATTTGGGGACATCGATAGTTGTCTCTCTAGTTTGATTTTCGCACATACCTCCCCTTTGCTTCCCTCCTTGCCTGGCTTGAATGGCTGGCTGGCTGGCTTCCTGCCTAGGTGGTAATGCTGACCCGTGGGTCAGGTCGGCAACCGCTGCCCGCAGTGGAGTCCGACCCGCAGGTGGCGGGGACTGCCGACATGCTCATATCACTAAAGTGAGGAGATTCGCAGAGTCCTGATTAGGAGTCCCAATGGGGGAGGGGGGTAGTACTCCGATGTCGCGATGTAGAACATGGCTCGGCACACTCGGGCTGGGGAGGGGCCGTGGGTGCGATGGTGGGTGCAAGTTCGCGCCCTCTCTCTGTTCCGTCCTTATGCGCCAACGTGTGTGTGATGGTACATTTCTGAATGCCTTCGGAGGAAGTAGAGCCCCCAACCCCGCGTCTAGCCCCCTCTAACGCCCCCGTCGATGCTGCTGACCAACGGACGCAATCCATCGCAATGTCGTACGGCCTCCTCGTCTCCACCAACACCAACACCAACACCAATACCGTGATTCTGCTTACACTGCTTTCCTGTTCGAAGATCCGCGTAGCGCCCTGAGAGCCGGACGAAAGCTCCAAACCCCCCAATTCCCGACCCTGAAGCCGCTCGAAAGCTGGCTACGTGACCTGCCCTGTGCCGCCGCCTGCCCTCGGCGACATTCCCTCCCTCCCGCTGTCTGTCCCTCTGTGGTATGATATGACAGACAACAGCTCCGCTGCTTGCAGTACGAGTCGCTGACACTGGCCAGCTACCTGACCCATGGGTCACCTGGCTTCCACGACCCTTACCCCACCTATTTGAGCAGCCTGCCGGGTCCGCAGCCGCCGGGTCCTCTGACGCCACCTCCCCAGCTGATGCTGATGCACCAGCTCTCTCTTTCGCAAACAGAAGCCATGGCGGCGGCAATACCGCACGGAATGCCGTACACTGCTATGCTGTTCAAGCCGGCGACTATGGTGGTCCGCGGTGGCGTCAGCGGTGGCGGTGTTGGTGGTAATGGGGCCCAAGCTGCAGACGGCGGTGGAGTCCCTCCGGCCGCCCTCGCGCAGGTGCGTGTGGGTGTGGGTGTGCGTGTGGGTGTGCGTGTGCGTGTGCGTGTGCGTGTGGGTGTGGGTGTGCGTGTGGGTGTGCGTGTGCGTGTGCGTGTGCGTGTGCGTGTGCGTGTGCGTGTGCGTGTGCGTGTGCGTGTGCGTGTGCGTGTGCGTGTGCGTGTGCGTGTGCGTGTGCGTGTGCGTGTGCGTGTGCGTGTGCGTGTGCGTGTGCGTGTGCGTGTGCGTGTGCGTGTGCGTGTGCGTGTGCGTGTGCGTGTGCGTGTGCGTGTGCGTGTGCGTGTGCGTGTGCGTGTGCGTGTGCGTGTGCGTGTGCGTGTGCGTGTGCGTGTGCGTGTGCGTGT